CTATGCAATTCGGAGATACGACCGGTACTAATATTTTCATCACTCGAAATGATTTTCTAATGATATGCACGTCTTGCACACGTAACGGCGTTCGCTAGCACGTGATTATAATAAAACGTAAAATACGTAAACGTGCCAGCCAGCACTAGTTTACAAAATTGGGAATGAAACAGTCATCCAAGCTACATATTCCATTGCCTTTTAATATGCTAGAGATTTCCAAAGAACAAATCGGAACAGCAGTTGTAGAGTTGAAAAAAATTTGAAGAAATTGACACAAATGTTCTTTAATCAACCTTACAATCAAAAGCTTGATATCTCACATATAACTTAACCTCAGGGGAAATAACAATCAAATAACAATTTTTGGAAGAATGAAAACAAATCTTATCAACATACCATTTTAGCAGCAGCTCTTCTTGGATAATATACGTTCATTTTCGAAAATACAGATCGAGAAGTTGTTATTTTTTTAAGTGCGAAAATAGAGAGCGCGTCTATATTACAAACCGCTGCGAAACCAATTGATTCTGCTACTAACAAAAAGCTCGTCTTGAATTTCTAAGTCAATGAATATTCAGTATTTATTCGAAGTTTCGAGAAGTATCAAGAAAGGAACTAGACAATTAACATCAACAGGTTATATAAACATTTCTATAAATAAAGCTTCCAACCAGAAAGGATTTGACAAAGTAATTAACAAATGATCGAGAGCGTTCGTTAACATCTTCGATTGTCATGATAAAATCTAATGATGCAAACATCTTTACAATGGTTTCATGTTTTCTTTATTATTTTTCATAATTGTGTTCAGGGATTCACTCATTGTGGCAGAACTTTTTGCAGAAATCAAGCTTACTGTGTGATGATAACTCCGTCCTTTGGGTAAAAGTGTTATGAATTGAGATCGATAAAAAGACAAAGCTTCTGTATTGTTTCGAATCTAAAAAAGATTGAGAGAACCAACCAAAAGTATTGCTTACATGCTGAGCTAGATTACTCCATGCCATATTAGCAGAAAGTTCTAAGAATTTGTCTTTCTTGTTAAAGAGCACAATCAGTCCTGCATCTCGTAGAACAGGACTGGGCAGTAAATTGTTGAAAATTTGAACAGTTTTTCCTTTCAAATGGCCCTTAAAGAATGATTTTCAGCTGCACATAGAGGCAATTTACATGATAAAACGCCTCATCGCAGAGTTCGCTCAAGTCGACCAAAAAAAAAACAGCCGCAGTATATTTGAAGAAATCTTGCCACCGTCTTCTAAACAAGTGATGACCTGGTAGCTCCAATAAGCTATAAAAAGAAAACAGATTCCTCAAGGGCTGTAGATATTTCCCACTGGTATTGAGTGAATCCTACTCTTAACGGATAATCAGAAATGCCAATAGTAGGTGCATACGAATTCAGTAGATCTTGCTCGGTCGGGATGTACTTCGCATCCAACATTCGTTTCATATTATTAACGAAACTGAAAAGAACAAAATAAAATCTACCGTGCAAAGTAGAAATTTAAGAGTAGTGATAAATAAATGGATAAGTATATTTTTCGCCTTGATATCAAATATTTTTTATCTTTTTTTCTTTTGTCTTATATTCCGTTGTTATTTCAAATGCCATGGCAACCAAAAGATATATTTCATGTTATTTTAACTGAATTAACAGAATTAAAAACTCAAGAAGATTGTGAAAAATGCGAGATGATTAAGCTTACTATTCATAGTTGTAAGGCAGTTTTAAATGTCGACTTTTTGTCTGGCATTCCTCGAGTAATCCTGATGCTGCCAGCTTGAAAATTGCTTCAAGAATATGATCTTTCAGAGTTTCTTTATGCCGAAACTCATTGAGAGCGTCGAAGTGATGCTGAAAAGAAATATGTTGGTTAGAAACAACATTTTGCCAACTTTATGTTGAGAATATTCAACTTCAAGAGTAATACAGGCTTTTTCGACGGCTCTCCATGTAATCAAAATATGATGCTGTACAGTATGGACATAATAAGAAATCACGGGATTAAAGGTGTGTGCATATCTCCTAAAATGAGCTTTTCAAACTTGATCAATCATGACTCAAATAAATTGATCTAAAACCACAAAACCACTGAAGGGTAGTGAAAAGAAAGAGCATTGAATGAACAGAGCCATTGCATTCATAACTTTCAAATGAAGTTATCTCTGTCTCAAAATACATTAGCGATTTCAATTATTTTCGTTCTAATTATCTAACGATGTTCCGACTACAATAACTTGCATTGTTCCTACTCTCTGAGATGACAAATAATATTCACAAAAAACAGTTTCCTGTTTTGCTTACATCAAACGTTTTGTTTTAGAGTGGAGTTATACCAAATAACGTAACAGCTTCAGAAAAAATACAAACTGCACGATCTCCCAAATCATACAAAAGTTCTACATGTGTATAAAGTTCATACACACACGTTGTTTACGAAAATTGAATTTCCCTCTTACAATCTATTGCTATCCAGTGGTCACTGGTTACACGCTTGTAGTAATCCCCGAATTATTTTTGACATTTAAGTTAAAAGATGAAAGCGGGAAATCTTATTAGGCAAAATCCTTTTAAGCTCATCTCATTGATTTTGTGAACTTTTCTGCACATTTCTTTGTAATTTATAAAGAATATATGCAAAAACGTGTGTAAGCGTTCTAGCACCTGATCTGAATAGATTAGGATTTATCTAGTGGTTGGTTTGCGAAATTTCTATCCTAAGCTAAAATAAAACATACAATAACTGACGACAGAGTAAAGTCTTCCCAGTTCCCATACATCCTGAAATCGTAGAATAGTCATTAATTTCAACATGGCTCTTTCAATAGTGTGGTTTAAATAGCAAATTTCGCTCTTGTTATTCCACGTGATTTCATTAATTGAGGGTGTTGTGTCAGAAAATCTGAGGCTGAAGAAAAAAGATGAATGATACTTCTTCTGATACACATAATTCTACACTTCAATATTCTCTACTATTTGTAATCGAAAGCCCAAAAAAATTTTTTTAAACCTCCGCTTTTTTTCTTATTTTATGAAATTTAAAAAAAAATCATCAAGCCTTTTTATTGCTCATCTTTACAAGAATGTTACAAACTTGAAACAGATTACATAAAAAATAAACATACCAAGGACAAGAATTTTTGGTTGCTTCTCATTGCCAATGAATCCCTTAGTTGGATTTCGATTGACAGTTGAAGCAGATGCTCCCATGGCTCTTGCAGGTATGCAATGTACATCAACGAGTCGCTTCCTATATGGGATTTGGCGAGTACGCATCACAAAGCCACGCCTACCTTCTAGAGCTATCATGAGGAGATAACAGGAATCATACAACACAGAGTACATTCAATAAAGAAAAATAATCAGATGACTTCAAATCACATAATCAAAAAAAGGTTACAAGAAATCATTCGTGCCATTTGAGAACCTGCTATCAAACACTGTCTGGGCACTACCCAGACATTTACCTGGAATATTGATATAGTTTGCGGCAAACTTTTATGCCTACCTTGCTCATCCACCCATTGGAGGACATGACATTCCAGAGCTTGTAGGTAACCGACCTATTGGTCTCCTGAATCCATCTAAAAACATTTGCGAATTATGAACTTTCAATCTAATTGTTACCACCGCGCCCTGGGCGACCTGGACCCCCTGGACCACCACTACCTGGCCAACGACCGTCATCTCTTCTCAATTGATCCCGATGAGAACTACCAGAAGAGTTTGAGCTTTGCGAGAAGCCAAATAAAGACAAGAAACTGAAGTATAGCTATAATTCTACTAAAAACTATGACTAAAGCTGACTTACAAGCCTATGAATATACTGAAGAACGAAAATATGAACGAAAAAATTGAGCTTTTCTTCTCCACAACGTTTCCTTCTGAAATGAAAGAGACTATTTCACAATGTAAGAGGTAATAACTTACTGGAATCAATATAAACCATGCTTACAAGTATATAATCATTACTTCTCAACTTTGAAACTATAAATTCGAACAAAACATAAAAAGATTTGTAAAACCAGATCACGAGACTATAGAAAATCAATGACGAACGCTTTTAGAACAGTGTATATGTACAATATTTTATTGAGCGAACTTATTTCTTGATGAACTGCATGCTTCAGAGAATAATTCTAATCTAGGAAATTTTATACAAAGGCTCATAGAACTATAAGTAAATTAAAAGCGCATATGGACAGAGTAACGCCAATAGTATGAGCACGCACTGTGTTTACGGTGAACTATGCCGCATAGAACATAATACAACGTGTACTTCTTCTTTTCTTGAGGAATTCCTTGAAGATTTTCATCAAATAGGGCAGTTCATGCGTATACAAACATGAGCCACTAATAGATATTAAGCGAATAAATGTTTCAGATATACACAAGGCAATGCATTTTTGTATTTGCTTGAGCTTGAAAGATATTTGTGTTGTCGAATAATACGTTCGGATTTAATTACTGAAATACAGTGATGGTGATAAAAGACGCAGTCAGTGCGTTCTCTTCTTAGCTTCCGCATCCGCCACCTCCACAACCACCGCCTGCGCAAGGTGGTGGAGCCACTCCAGAACTTCTAGGCAAACTACCAATAGGCCTACGGAAACCATCTAAAACATAGTGATTAGGAAATGAGAATCAGTAGCCATTATAAGATAATTCAATAATCATATCTATTCTACTAAACCATACCGTTTCCTCTTCTGAACTCGGAGGGTCTTGCACTTCCACTACCTCCACTGACTCCATTACTTCTATTGTCATCTCTTCTTAATTGATCTCTATGAAAATATGGAGAGTTGTTGCTTTGCGAATAACCAATTATGGATAAAAAGCTGAATTATATTTTGTATTGAGTTTGCACCCGTTTTTGCTTACAATGCAATGATGGCCCAAAAGAAGGTTAAAAAGGATTCAACAATCGAATGTTTTTTCTCCACTACGTTTCCTTCTCAAAATAACCATTTGTTGAAGTATACAGAACTATGTGTGAATTATAAATTAATTAGGGCGGTTCAAAAACCTACTTGAGTCAATGTGAACCATTTTGCTACTTCTTTGTGAACTCTGTAAAGATGGGGGAATGAGGACTATCAGGCACTTAAAACTAAATCGCGTATACAAGTTCAAAATAAGACATTCAAACATAATTGCATAGACCGGCAAAAAATGCTAAATCTGCAAATATTGATAGAAACTAACTCTTAAATAATAATGTCATGGGAACGAACTAGTGGAAATAGATTTCCTCTATGACGCGAATGCATAAAGCATACACTGTTTTTACAAACGACCATGTCGCATATGGCCGAAGACAACGTGTACTTCAGATGGAACCCTCTTTCTATAATTCTCATACTCTCTTTAGCTGTAACCTAGCTTTAATCAGTTGATATGTGTTATAATTAGTTAGTCGTCGTACTATCATAAATTTCAGTGCGGAAGTGAAAAACGGAGAAAAGTATCAAGTGTTGGAAGGGTCTGTTCATACGAAGAGAAACGTTGGCTGGGTTATGGCATACCGTGGTATGAAAGGTATCTGATTGATTAACATGATATTTATTTCCCATTTGTAGGTTCGACTAATAACGCATTCGACAGTTATGTCGAACGTCAAAATGACGATAATGTTGAACTATTGTCGGAGAAAGTGAACACTTTGAAACGAGTATGTTCTTGTCTTTAGTTCATCCTGCAATTTCTATTCAGTTTGCTATTTCTATTGGTGATGAGGTACGTGACCAAAATCGTTACATTGATTCAATGGGATCGGATTTTGATTCGAATTTCGGATTTCTTTCTGGTGTTATGGGAAAGCTCAAACATGTACAGAAGGCTGGAGGTGTGAACGTTTAATTTATGTTTTTGAATATCCGAATTTAAGGTCATAAAATGCTTCTTTATCTCATCGGTTTTGCCTTGTTAGTATTCTTTATAATTTATTGCCTGGCAAGGTGAGCGAAACTCAAGTAACGAATGATCATTCTGTCGTCATGGCTCAACTTCCATTTTATCTGTCCTCTCTTTCTTTGCAAGCACTCACTCCATTTTCAGTATGCTAAGTATGTATATTATTATTATTATTACAACTTAACTTGTTCCATATGTTGTAATGAAGGTTCGTTTTAACAGAGCTGGTGCTCTCCCAAAATAACTACTAACGTGACACTACTCACTTACTTAACATACCAATACTAACTCAAACTTGAATTAAGAATGAATGTACACGTACTTAATTATCTCATTGTTCGAGCATTGGAGACTCAGAAAGTAATTATAATTCTACGTATTTCCCTAGATCATACTTTATGTTTATGATACAGCATATATAAAGGGGAATGAGATTGCTCTGAGTTACAAACAAAAACTCACGGTTATACTACGAATGGTTTTGTACTGCAAATTGCTAACCAAATAAAAGTTTGAAACTATTCCTTACTGTGTTATTATCAATTAAGTTACAACAACAGGTAGGTATCACCTGCTACTGACGTTTTCACAAACTTCTTGGAATAAGATAAATTCTGAGTACACTTCCCCACATCTTCCAATTGGTACATCTAAGTGAGAACCATACACGTTACAAAAGTCTCTGTTTGAGAACTGAGTCTATACCCTATGCATTAAAGAAAATTCTTTTCATAGAGAGCTGTCACTATGGTTCAGTTCAATCGAAGTACTACACAGATTACAATTTGCAATTTCTTACGATCTCGTGAAGATGACCCTACGAGAATTTTTAACAAGAACTATAAATATAATAAAAAAAAAGATGTATTTATAAAACTATGTATAATAACTGATTGGCGGAGAACCACTATGAGATGAATATATTCGAATTTTGAATTTTAGAACTCTTTCTCTGAAATAATATTTAATGGCTTGCCGTCTTGGACGTTTTAAGATTAAAATATTTTTAGCGTCAAGAGATTTCCCTCCTTTATCACAAGATCTCTTCTTTTGTTACTAAACGGACTCAGTGATCATTTAACTTTTTGTCACACAATATGACGTCATAACTACTAACCATTAGCTAAAGGCGAAACTTTGAAAAAACTATGAAGCGGTGTTTATTTCTCATTTGGTATAGAAACATAAACACTAGGCTGCGGCTCTTTTGAAATTACTGAATTTTCATTATTAGATGTACTTCTTTTCGAAAAGTTTGCTATTTTGTCGAGCCTTTTCTGAGAAGTTTCAATCGAAAAGGATAGGTGACACCACTCTCAAAAGCGTTTCAACATTCTCAGTCCACTGCTAACTCTAATCAGGAACATCCAACTCTCATAATCTAGGCGGAACATTTGGCCTTTCAGAAAGGATGTCAAAAAATGTTTGTTTAATCACGTTAGGGGGAAATATGCGGATGTTCGCTGAACTAAGCATATTTTCATTTTATTAAAAAATTTGGTTTGGAAGTAAAAAACACTAGAAAGATTCCTAATCTAATTTCTTTGTTTTCTGCTTGTTAAATCAACTAATTATTCTCCATCTACAATTCATTCAGAATATTTTTTGATTTTCTCCTTTTATCTTATTACATCAAATATATGCTAATCCATATAAATAGGAAGAGAGGTTGAACTTTCTTCGTTCAGAATAAGACAGAAAATGGTTCATCGAAAATATTTTTAGTCATAGCTCTGAGTGAATGATGGGCGCAACAATAATAGAAAACGACGTTTATCCTTTCTAACCTTGTAATTAAAATTTTATTCAACGTACTTTTTTTAAGCTGCTCCCTATTTTGAAAGTTGGACTTTCTCTTATAATTAACCGATGTTCTGTGATTCTGTGGATGAAAGACGTCAAGAAAAAGAAATACAACCGCTCTGTTGAGCGCAAATTGCAAAAAACTCAAATGCAACCGTCCTGCACGCGTGGAATTAGCAAAATGGATGAGCGCGTGCGCAATCCTGTAATTCAAAAAATGGGACGTCAATGCTCACTGAGCAAACACTTTTTGAATAAAAAACATGAATTATTATGAAAAAGTTGAATGTTCAGTTGATGCTATACTTAGAAAGCATTTTGCGTGAACTTACTTGGCCTGGTATGTCTGGAAGTAATTTATGTCCGTTTTCAAAATAATTAGAGCACTGATGTGATGAGGATGGTTCTTACTCGGAATTAAAAAGGTGTTTTCGGACATCGATCCTGTAAACATTTATTATTTTTAGTTCGAAGAGCTTCATATTTGATTGAATCCTTCATTGCTCATCTTCAAAAGCATATCGTCATTCTGAATTTCTATTCTTTGTGTGTTTTTTCGGCAAAACATGATTAAAATTAGAATGATCTGTTGTCATTAAGATTTTTCATTGTTTATTGATGTGAGGAACAATAATTCCTTTGAAGTTTCGGTTTTTGTCAAATCAGAAGGAGTATATCCTAGTCATGCTACTTCTTTTCTTTTGATAAATTTCCTTATTATTTATCTTTTAATTTGGGATTAGTAATATTATTTTTGAGATTACTTTCGTGCTTGCTATGTATATTGAAGAATGAGAATCTGATATATCTGAACAGAATTTATCTGACCAGCAACTTGGAAAGAAATAGGCGGCAAGAAAATGAGATGAATTGTTGATGTCTATCCATTGTACTTCCTCTTATTGACTTCACGAATTTCATTTTCAAAACATCTTTAATTTGAATGACATTTATTCGAGTTGACTAACTTATGAATTTCACTTCTTAATTTTAATTCATTTTCCTCATTTCAGTTGTCTAAAAATTTCCATAGCTCATTGATTTTCTTACCATATTACATGAATGGTTTAAGAAATTCGATACTTACGCAAGGAAGGTAGTAGATGATTATAAAGTCGCAGCAATTCTTTATTTGTATTTCCTTTTTTGATTATTATATTCGAAGCTTTTTGTAGTTTCAAGCTTTTGATTTTGAAGCAGAATTGAAAATTTGTCTTTTCTCAAAAAAAGCTGATTTGATGTCTAGCTCTTTCTGACAATAATTCTTTGTTTGATATGGTTTGCTGTAACTGTACATGCTAACAACTGCTTTTTTCACTTTTTTTCTCATTCATTTGTAAATAAAAACAAGACTTTGAGCAAATAAATTCTCCTTAATAATCTTTTTAACTTTTCTAGTGTTTTTCTAATAAAAGTTGTTAAAAAAGAAACGAAAAGATTAATGAATCTTATCTCATAACACCAATAGTCTGGTCTTCTTGCAGTTGTTTGTTCAATAACAATGATTGATATAAGTTCCAAGTAATATGTCAATTATCTTCAGAGTTTGTGTTAAGAAATAATATATTTTAAAAAACTAATATCATTCTTTTTCATCGTGATTAAATAACAAAAGATATATTAGTCATAATATTATTAGATTTTCTCTGGCGCTTTTCATTTCTTCTCGCCTCTCCCCTCCCCTCCCTTGTAAAGGAAGCCCTTCTACTTGCAGCTTTGATCCGTCTATCTTTCATTCCCTCTCCTCCCTCGTCAATCCAACCATCTTTGGCATTTCTTATCCTATTCTTCCTCAATCATCGTGTTATCCTTTTCACTAACTAACATTCTATAGTCATAAATAAATCTTCAATTGTTTATATAATTCACATTTTTATTTTTATGTACATATAAATATCTTTTAAATGTATACGTTAGATCATTTCTTCCAGAGGTGTGAGTAGTTTTCTCTAATTGAGTTCTGATTTCTTTTAAATTTCATTCAGTTTTTGTTTGATTTGTTTCTAGAAGTAATAAACCTGCCTCTACGCTCTCTAGCTCTCTTTCTTCTCTTCCCATTAACTCGACACCTCTTCCACCTCTTTCGTCGTATCACTCCACCCCTACAGCACCTTCCATTCTCATTCATTTATCTTTTCTTTCACATTTTTTCTGTTGCTCCAGCTTTATTTCTTTATCTCATTTAGAGTTTTCTCTTAAATAGCCAGGCATACAGAGTAGAGGCGTGGCTTAGTGGCACAGGGAAACCGACGTCGGTTATGCAGATGCCCGAGATGACCTCCTGCCCATGGGCGTTTGAGCCATTTTCTGAAACAGCCCTTCTCAGGTAAGCTTATATCATCTATTTGAGAGCAAACAAACACATTAAAAATCGAGCTTTTAACAGTCAACCATGTTAATCCTGATTTCATCACATCATAGGAATTAGTTTTCTCGAAAAAAGCCGAAAGCTTCTGCTTCATAACGAATGTAAAACATCTCTCATTAAGGAGAATACTGAAAGAGAAAACAAAAACAGACTTTTGTTGATAACGCTTGAGAATTCTTTATTTGAATTTTGGAATGATCACTTCTACTTTTGTTTTCACAAACCACTCTTTAAATCTTAAATTTCACATAAAAGATTCATGAAGTTATATATTAGACTGAGTTATCATGATTTTTGAACTTTTTTTTATATTCAAAATCTTTGTGATCAAGTAATCTTTTAGGACGTTGAATAATTTGAAGTCAGAAGTTCGTCAGAAGGCTCTTTCGGATCCGAGAGTTTCTGGAGTTAACGACACATACATCTTGAGTTTGATGAGAAATGAAAGTAATTCGTGTATGTGTCCGATGATTGATGATTACATAAGAGGAACTTATAACATTGGATTACATTGTGAAGAATTTCCATTTGTTCATCCATTATGGATTCAAATATTTTATATTCTGCTGTTCGCCATAACGATCCTGTTGGCTCTGGTTGGAAACTTTACTGTTATGTGGTAAGACGATTTTGACATTTTCTACATTAGACACATAAAAAAAAACTTTTTTTTTCGATGATTGTTGGACATGAGCATATGTTGAATGCTACTCCTTAAGTGCCAACAATCGTCAAGGGACTTTTTAAGTTTTTGGAAGAAAATGAGAGGGAAGAAAAAAAAAAGTTGTCTTCTTGTTTATAGACAGAAGGATTAGGACAACATGATTGTTTGCAATGATTCTTGTGGGATTTTCGTTGTCTTCAAGTTTTGGGACACATCTAAGTTGAAACAGATGAAAAAATGTTTAAAAAATGTTTCAAAATTCTTTAAAAGTGCAAAGATTTGCCCTTTAATTACAATCTTTCAACCATAACTCTCTGGTTTCTAACTGGAGAACGATGATATTGTGAGAAATATTGAGGGAAACAATATTTTGTTGTTTAGGATAGTATTGAGACATCGATCGATGAGAACAATTACAAACTATTTTCTTCTCAATTTGGCTATCGCTGATGCTTCGATTTCCATATTTAACACTGGATTCTCATGGACGTATAACTTTTATTATCAATGGATGTAAGTTTCTTTTATATTCTCGGTGGCTTAATGCAACAAAAGATTATTCATTAAGCATTCAATCTCTTTCTTCATAGTATTCCATGACATTTTGAACATGACCTTATTCGCTGTAATCCGTTTGTATTCAGAAGCAAAAAAAGTTGCATTTCTGAATTTCAACTTTTTATTTTCACATTCGTAGATTCGGGATTCACATATAATTCGTTTAGCTTCCTGCTTATAACCTAGTTTACATTCGTCTAAATGAATGAGGGAGGAAGCGAGCGAAGAGAGTTGATTTCATTCACTAAAATTCATGTTTTCTGTTTCATTTACTTAAGTCAACTCGAATATCCACCAAAGCAATTTCTTTGTTTTTTGTCATTTTCTTAGATCTTTCAATATATAATATCTTTTGTTAATTGATAAGCGGGACTTAAAGGCTTCTGCTCAACATATCAGAAGCATTTTCAAAAGAAATTTCACCAAATGAATTTAAATATAAATTTCCTCACAAAAATATGCAAAATATCACCTGTCTATGTTCTGATTTAAATCATTACGTATTATTAATATTTGAGTTTTTACATTTTCAATAATTTGTGAAAAATATTACGAAATGAGGGCCCGAGTTATCCCGAATACCTTTTATAGAAGAAACCAATCTGCACTTAGGTTTTTGTGAAATTCAAACAAAATTTGACAAATGAATAGACAAATATATCTCTCTGCTATCTTTCTCATCTGACTTGAACAGATAAGTGGCGATGAGAAACCCTAAGCTCTCCAGAGATTTGACCATTTAAAGTTTCAAACGCCATCAAACAAACGTGTCGTTCCAACAAGAAAAAAACAAATAAAATTTCAGATTTGGTTTATACTACTGTCGAGTCAACAACCTGATGGGTATAACTCCCATATGTGCCAGCGTTTTTACAATGATTGCCATGAGTATTGATCGGTAATATTCAAACATTTTTTTCTCAAAAAAACTACGATCGTGTAATTTGAATATTCTCACGTCTATCCCACGGGAGTACTTACACATTCATTTTCAAATAAATAATCGGCGAAGTCGGTTGCTCCTCTAAATGCAAATCACTTGATAGAAATATAATTTTAAAAATGACAGATACTGGGCAATTGTACATCCACTGCGTCCTCGCATGAGCAGAAGAGCCACTGGAGCAACAATTTGGGCTGTATGGTTTTTGGCGATTTTGTGTGGCCTTCCTTCATATTTTTTCTCCAAAGTATGTTCTGAACATCTGATCTTGTTGATCCAGTACGTTTAGATCGAAAGACAATACTTCTACAACGGCGAAACTTTGTATGAGCACATAGTATGTATGTCTGACAACTATCCTGTTGAATACCCGTGGGGTAAACTGTAAGTGAACGCATAAATGAGATCATAATACAAAATTGGTTATAGCTATACTTCCGGATTAGTTATTGTTCAGTACTTTATACCTCTTCTCATATTGGCTTGTGCTTATTTTCGAGTAGGTACTGTTCTCAGGAAGAGTAAATGTGTTGGAGACTCACAACATGCGAAGTCTATTGCAGCAAAACGAAGAGTCAGCTCATACCTTTTAGTGTATCTGATACCTGTGTTTAGGCTTCCGTGATGTTAGGTCTTGTCGTATTCATTTTCATGGTCGTTTGGTTCCCCTACAATACTTACTTTGTCCTAGCTGATTTCCTGCCCAAACCGGAAGATCATACTGTGAGATAAATGCATACTTAACCTTTATCAATAAGTAATTCAGACACAGCTCTATATTTATATCAATATATATTGGCTTGGCATGTCATCAACTGTTTTCAATCCTGTGATTTATTACTTCATGAACAAGAGGTTTTTTCCCTAACACTGAATGGTTAACTTATGTTTCTTTAAATTCAGGTTTCGAGTCGGTTTCCGATATGCATTCCGTTGGCTTCCTCGTGTTCGATCAAGCCGAGGTGATTATTTGGCGATATTGTCTAGTAATGCCCGACCGTCTCTCCTGCCTTCTCACACAGCTGCAACAGAGTTTTGAAATCCAAAGAGCGAACAATGATTTTTATTTATTATGTAAGAATTAAGTTTCCAAGATTCATTTGATCTCTAGAAACTTCGATAGCATTCGCGGGTAAAAACGAAAAATACTTTATTTTGATCTGTTCATGCATATCACTTGTTAACACATAACTTGCACACATTATTCCATGTTAGTTTAGTCTTTGAATTATTTGTTTTAAAGGAAATTTGAATAAAATTTTTTATTTTTGGTCAAATTAATTGGGTGATTGCCAAACAATGACAAAAAACATAAAGGCACGTGGTAAAACAGTGAATGTTTAAACAAAACTATGAAACAACTATCAATTATAGGTTAAACTTATTAAAATATCTGCTGAGTTTCAGCTCAGTTCTTAACTATGGTTTGAATAGAAAATTAAAATTCATATCAGCGATAATGACCGCTACATGGCTGTTTCAATGAGCAAATCTATTGAAGAGAGCGCCCATATTAAGCAATTTTTTTTATGGTGCTTTGTGTACCCAGACAATAAATAATGAAAACATAAAAGACTAGAAATTTGAAAAAAAGGTTTTTAGGCAAAAATATCGTGGGGATAAGACATGCGAAAGTTAAATATTTAAAATATAGGATCTATTTGCCGCATAAGTACAGCTAAATAGATCATAACCACAGGAATCGACAAAAAGAGAACTACCAGCTCAGTACCTGCAAATAAACGAGGAGCCTCTAATTGAGCACGCAGTTCAGCAATAGCGGTAGTAATACGCTTCTCAGCTTCTATACGCGACAGCGGTTCACTCCTTAACATGTTCAATGTTTGATATATTTGATATTTTCAAGTGTTCCATGTATTTTTTAATAAACTCACCTATGCGGGTCATCGGGGGGAAGAGCATTGTCCAAATCTCTAGATGTAAAACTGGCTGATGGACAATGGCTGCCGCCTTTATCTGAAACAAAGTTTCATGACTTGGTAAGATTAACAGTTTTCATGAAATCGTAAGGAAAGAAAAGAACCGAACCTAATTGTTCTCTCTCTTCACCCCTCCCCTGCCCCCCGAAGGTGGCTGTTGCGACTGTGGGTAACGAACCGCTTTTGGTTGGAAAGCCTGAAGGTGGAAAATTTTAAGATTAGATAGTTGATAAATGATGAAAACTCTTACATCTCTACTACTGGTTGTTGCTTTGTTATTAGTTCGTTTCAATGCTTGCCGGCTATCTCGATCGATTTCAACATCTTCTAGTCGCTGAACAGATTATTAATTTAGAATCTCTTCAGTGTTTTTCGAATAACCTGATTTAGAGCTAGTTTCTGATGAATAGCCAACCTAAGGAGTTGGTTCAATGTCTTCTTCTCATCTTCACTCGCTTTGAGCTCAGCTTTGTATTCTTCCACCTAAAAAAAAAATACTTTATCGCAAATTAGTGGGCCGATAATACTTGAGCTTGGAGTTCTTCACAGCGAGCGGTGAACATAGCTCGATGGCTGGCAAAAGTAGCTGCATCTTCTTTCAATTGCTTGAGTTCCTTTCTCTGTTTCTCAGCTAACTCCTACGAAAATATTAGCATAAGCTATTGGCTAGAGTTAAACTGTTTACCTGATTGGTTTTCTTCTCACTCTCATACTTCTCTTTCAAAGAAGCTAAGGCGGACTCAGCTGTGAGTTTATTAGATTTTAATACAGTACGCAATGTAGAGATTTGATCTCTTAAATGTGGTATATGTAAAAGGTTTCAGAAATCTCAAACCTCTTGGTACTTAATTGACTTCTCAGCTTCATATTCTGCATAATTATTTCCTCATTATCACCAGTTGAAGCTACGGCTTGGTTAAGTGCTTGTTCAGTTGCTCTCTTAACCGAAGTTAGAAGTTTTTTCATACTATCAGTAGTCTCCGAAACAGCACTTCCATCTAGAAAAAATTTTGATTCAAAGTCTCTAATTGTCCATGAATTCACCAGTCAAAACACGTTGTCGGAGGTCTGTATCACTGGCCACTTGATTAACTTTGCAACTATTGAGTTTAGCATCAACATCTTTGATAAAAGAAGGAGCTAACATCTTAAATTAAGCAAAGTGAATATTTGAAACTGTTTTTAATCAACTAACAACGCGATCAGCTTGGAATGGTATCGCTCTTGTTCCAGTTTCAGCCTCTGATCCACATTCTACACCTTCATCAGCTAGTGAAAGCCGAGGAGTGTCTTCCGCATTATCTTTGGCAAGTTGACGAAGCTTATGAACAACCTATGGAAATTAAAAAAAACATTACTTGAAGCTGATTGAAAGGCAATTTACTTCCATCACGGATTTATCACAAGTTAGACCGTGATTTTGAACAAGTTGATGATAGAATTGGTAAAGCTGATCGGACAATTGGATCATAGCATCTTGGGTAGCAGCCAACATAGCATTCTTTTCTCCCGCGAGCAAGAGAAGAGTTCTAATATCATTTTTCTGAGTGTGAACTTTTTTCTCAACAGAGCTATCTACATTACTTCCCTGTAATATGCTCATTAACAATCAAAACACTTGAACACAATACTTACTTTCAGCAATTGCTCAATCTTATCAATCACAACATCTTTCTGTTGGCGAGCATGGATAAAGTCAAGATCTGGAAACATATCAATTTAGAAATATAGATTTATGATACCTCCGGAATGGTTAATATTCAATTGGTTCATCAGGGATATTATGAGATCGATAGAAGCTTTTTCTCGTTCTTTTACTTTCTCAGTCAAATTCTCATTCAGTGCTTCTAATTCCTTGACCTTCAATAAGAAGTTAACAAAGATTTCAATTAGAATACTCACTTTTCCATCAGCAGTTCCTTGCAATTCACTGAATAAATCATTTGATGGTTGTGGTAGGGAACCTCCTTCCTGATATTAAAAAAATCGTTTCATCGTGACGATGTGAGAACATACCTCTCCTAACCTTTCCAAACCGTGAAGCATATCAGCCAAACTATTCAAATGCTCAGCATTTTTAGCTGCTTCCAATTCTCTTTTCATAGCCAATCTTTGTTCTCTTTCTTGTTGAGCTGTTAAAAGAGCTTCTTCAACCTCAAAAACTATTCTTCAACTGGAGTTCTCATTTTTGATGTTTGAACCTGTTTATCAGCGATGTTCTTTAAGGTTTCACTTTCTTGAACAGCCGAATTAAGCATATAAATTTCATCCAAATAGCGTGAGCATGTCAGCTTCAACGCTTCGAATTCTGTTTGAGCTCCTCTTAAATTTGCAACAGTTGACTGTAAGTTAATGTTTTCTTCTTCGAGTTCTGTGAAGTCCGCCATAATTCTCTGCTCTCTCTCTTTAACTTCTTTAAGTTCAGCCCGGAGCTTTCTTCTTTCTTCATCTAACTGATGGCCGGATTCTGAGGCTGAAGCATGTTCGGTTTGCAACCGTTCTAATTCAGATTTTGATCTATTCAGTTCCTATAAAAAATAAAAGATCAACTCATAATTGATTTGTTCCGCACCTGTTCTGTATTACGAAGATCAGATTCAAGTTTCGAAATATGGTTAAGCAGTTCCTGCTCTTTTCGACTACTCTCTTCAAGTAAGCTTTGTTCGTTCTCAAGCTCCGTCTTCGTGGCAACTTTGTGTTGAGTTCGAAACTCCACCAATAACTAGAGCTTGAATATGGTAAAGTAACATTTGATTTATCGGACCTGATTTGCTTGTTCAACTTCATCTTTCGCAGCTTCATACTGCTCTTCTAATATCTTTAGCTTTTGTTGCAGCTCTTGCTTTTCTTCTAATAGCAACATACCATATTCGGCAGCCTATACAAATGAATCATGTCGCGAAAATATGAATGAAGGAACTCACTTTGATTTTATCTGCTGTCGCTTCTTCCAAGGAAGCTGCAAGGCGAACAGCTTCCGCTCGCACTTTCTCCAGCTCATCACCCATCTATAATATTGGTATAAGTGTGAAAAAAACTATCAAAAGCCAAAGTGTCAAAAAAAAAACGATGTAATGGGCATGGCAGATAACAGAAAGGTACACTCAAACTAGATAGGGCGAAAACTGCAACAGCTCCACATCATAGTGGTGTTTTTTCGTGTTACATCTCCACCGTAGCCGATAAATCTGCGAAAAACTTGGGAATATACTAATTGAATTAATTACTTTGAACAAGTGAATACTTCGAGAATCACATAATAGAATTAAATTAGGGAAGTGTGGAGAGTTGCAACTCTGTCACTTATTTGTTTTTGAGATTCAATAAAGTGCTTGTTGCTCATCTTGCAGTTAAGACGTTAAGCAATGGTTCTCCTGAGTTAGGCGAGCAAGTTTTATGTGGACATTTCTGTGAGAAACATCAATTTTTATTGATGAAACAAAAACTTATTGTAAATAGTAGTAAGGAACACCAAAGAAGGTAAGAAATAGTGTCTGAAACATATATACAAATGGATGGACAACGACACCGAAATGTATCATTAATATTCGATTTCATATGGGAGAACAGAGATTGGAGAAGGTCAGGAGGTAGTCAAACGGAGGGATAGAGAGCAAGTAATGATGAAAAACAGGCGGATAGATTGAAAGAGGGGACAGAAAAGAGAGGAAAAGAGAAGAGAAAGAATGCAAAGGGAGGCAACATTAAAAATCAATAGGACGCGACGGTACTGATGGTAGAAGGCTATTGGGGCTGATGAGTTTTAGCCCGGGTCACTGAACGGACGGTCAGGCGGTCAAATGGACATATAGAACGGACAAATACGGTCAAGATTGGAAGATAATCATTGAAAAGTGTAAGGAAAGAAGAAGGTAATCAACTGATAACTCGTAGTATAGGCTCGGAAATATTTTTTTCCTTTGTTGTTCCCTGATAAAACAGTTGAAAAGAGTAAAAAAAATAGTAATAAGAAGAGTGGAATACAGAGAAACATAGTGGAGAGCGCTACAGAGAAAGAATAGAAAATTATGAAATAATGTTGAAATGAGAGAGAAGGGAAGAGCCAGCAAGTGCTAGTAGTCGCAGCAGACTCCCAACAGTTCTCTATTTGTTTGTTTGTTTGACAGAACCCCGTTGACTTGATGTTCCATTTCTATTCTTCTATATGAAAATTCCGAATGAAGCATCGATTATTTAACCAAAATCACTGGACACAAGATGTGTTATTATTATGAAGTGGAATACCTTGTGATCTTTGGTTAAAGGAGTTCGTTATGACTACCGTTTTTTGATTTCATAAGGAAGCAGTGATTAATAAATCAATATTTTGTCAGTTATCATAGTTCATTCCATTGGGATGAGAGAAAAGGAAAAAATGAGAGAGAAGGCAAATCTCATAAGAGGTATGGATGCTGAATAAGGCAACCGGTTGCGCTGTCAGATCGAGAGTGATTGGAAACGTCTGTATACTTTATTGTTCAGAAGGCTCGATCAATGCTAAGGTTTTCGATTTGAATGAAGTATTTTCATTAACATTATAGACAATATTTTACATTTTTAGGAAAATCAACGAAATGTATAGAGTTGTAATAGAAACATTGGATAAGAAGCATGGAAATGCAACATAAATCGGAGAAGAACCTGGAGAAAAGGCTCGAATTACAAGTTTTGAGAGAAAAAAGATAATTTAATCCGTTCCTCGCACGGAAAGAAAAGAGTATATCAGAATTAGTATGAATGAAACATCAACGATTTCCTAACCGTCTCCATAGGAATACGCATCGTTTAGTGGAGAGAATGACAGGGCAATCGGTTGTTCAAAAAGAACGATACAACATGAAAACTTGTCTGGATGTTTTTTCATGTTGAACTCGATGCTTTTTGAATGAAAAAAAAATAAAAAAATCATGAAATACTCTGTTGTTATGAAAAATAAAGGAAAACTAATACAACCGTTCGTCGCGCTGCGATGCTAAAAAAAGAGCCGCGTCACGTGGATTTCACGTATTTCGGGCGGGATACTAAGCATACACCTTTTACTCCACAGCTACCTTTCCTCCTCGAGAAAATAAGTGTGTGATGAAAAACTTGACCATATCTCCGTATGAGAAGACACTATTTAAAGCATGTACAGCAATTGTGTTTTGTTAATATGATGAGAACGAGGATGCAAGTGTAGTTTAAAATCTATGTAGAAAAGAATAGGCGAAAATTGGAGAGTAAGCGGTGGAGAAAAGAGGACAAGGAGAGAAAACGACAGAAAGGAACAAACAAATAAAGGTGGGTATTCGAAGAAGGAATAAAGAACCAGCTTCGATCAGTTTTTTTTTTTGCTTTTTTGTACAAAATTGTGAGGATTATCGTCTATTATAGTGAAGATCGTTATAGACTAATTTTATTCCAAAACATAGTTACTGTTAAATATTTCTTCAAGAGAAAGATGAGAATCCATCGTCTGAATTCTGAACCGATCGACATATAAAGTAAAACCAATATTAAAGTTAAAATTTGATGAATTGATAGTCTGGTTGTTGTACAGCATAGCCTCTCTGGGAATCTCCTGGTTGAACCAAATTAGTGCATGAGTTATCAGAAGACATCTTAACGGTACAGATGATGAAAAGTTCAATTTCGAGATACGTACTGGTGTTTTTATGTTCCAGTTAAAAGCGCTTTGACCTCTCACAGGATAAGCAGACGTTGATTGCCATGAGCTACCATAACCATAAAATGAAGATGTATCATCAATCTGAAGAAAAACCCTGATTAATATATTTTTTATTCTCCATATGTGAAGAAGTTTCTTATTATATTTCCGTATAAGGCATCTGTTGTATTAGTGGTGTATTGAAATAAACATTTTTCTTCAAAAACGTAAACAATCCAACCACTTACAATGGCTTGCCAACTGGCAAGGACTGCACAAAAAAGGTCATTAAAAATGAGTGAAAGAATCCAAAGTTATAAGACAACGTTGCAGAAAGATCTAAAGCTACTTTACCTGGCTTGCAACTGTTTCGTCCCGTAGTGGTCGGTTGTATATGGGGAACACCTAAAAAAGTACTTAACTTGCAGTTTTAAAATATGTTGTACCGGTGGAATAGCTTGATGAAAACCTCCTTGAAGACTACCTATTGACTGAATCCCCAAAGATGTCATGCTTCCACCGATCGTGTTCCCATTAGTAGGCTGGGTTACTGTCGTTGAGCTTGGGATCGGCTTTTGCTCCGAGTAGTTCCTTTCTCTTTTACGCCACTTGGCTCTCCGGTTTTTAAACCAAACCTTAAACATTCAAAATTCGGAATAAGTTCGGAGATAGAGTAATCTACAAAGCTTTCTGGTCTACAAGTTCCCAAGTAATCCCTAACATTGAGGAAAAAGAAAAATAATTTCTTATATAGTTGAAGGGTCATTGATCTTTTTCATTGGATAGTTTTAAGCCATTTTCATACTAGACGTAAAAGCTTCTCTTCGTCAATGAGTTGAAGCATTTCAAGACGAAAAAAGAAGGAAAATGTGGAAAGAATATCGACATGGCTACCGTAATCCGCTATTTACTGGCAGTCGCTGTTAGTGGATTCGTTTTGAAGGAATGTATTACATTTTGTCATCAAATGATGCTTCTCTTCATTAATGGTCTGATTCCAATTACAGTCGAAAAAGGGGTGTGATGATAGAAAGCTTAAGCACAAAAGACAAAACATCAAATGAATGTCTTGTGCATTGTTCTCATTTAATTGGATGATGAGCTAGCCAATGTATAGTATTAGCGTCATCTATTTATTCAAAATTTTTTGTTCATTTTTAGCTTTCGGAAACATTCGAACTTACTCAAACATGTAAAAACAAGAAAGCACATGAAATAAAAGAATAAGTCATAAGAAAACTTACACGAACACGTGGCTCAGTTAAGCTTATCCATATAGCTATTTCTTCTCTGGTAGCCATATCAGGATATCTATTGCGAGAAAACCAGTTTTCTAGTTCTGTCAGCTTAAACAGTAAGCTCAATTAAAAACAGTGTAAAAGATAATTATACTTGGTGACTCGTGAAATGAGTTCGTTGCCGTCTAGGCTTTGTAATTTTGGTTGTTCCATTAGGGGAACTTGAGTTTTTTCCATCGTCTCGATCTTCGTCATCATCTTTCTCTATTTCAACTATAAAAAGCTTAACTTGAAGAAGATAACAAATGACTTACTCTTGGGTGTTTTTGTTACCAACGTAGAATCGGAAGCCGGGAGAGGGACAGAGTAATCGAAAGTGTTACAGTAAAGAGCTGAACTATCGCTGTGGTTCAAAACTGAAGAAGGTGGCATGAACGGAAACAATGATTTTGAAGAAATGTCCAAATAATTAGAGCTCAAGTTGAGATAGATAGACGAACCTGATGTAGCATGAAGTCCTGTTGATGTTCCATCCAGAGTTGAGCAGAGAAGGTGAGATGGAAAAGCTAACGAAGACGACGTAGCAGATGCCACTACGGGCGACGACGACAACGTAGTGGAGGCGGAGACGAGCGCTGAGGTCGAATGCTCCATAAATAAGCCTGTTGATCCGACTATGTGTGTGGCTTATGAGTGGGAAGGATTAATTGCTTAACAGGAAGACCCCCGGTGCAAGAAAAGAATTTGATCCTGTGAGGATTTTTGTGAACGAGTTGGCAGCAGCAGCAGCCAGCAGAGCAAGAGGCTTATACACGACGGCTTGTCGGAAAGGCTTGTCCTTCAGTTCTCCTTCTGGGCTTCTTCCTTTTTCAGGCTGCTGCTCCTCCTCCTTCGTATTCGTCTGCTCCTCCTATCGTTTTCTGCGCCCATCTCCACTCATTTATTCGACTTGGCTTACGGTAGTAGGACTCCGCCTCTTATTTTTGTGCTCTTTGAAAGAGCATGTTAACGGAACAGCTTCCATGGCCATTTTATTCTTTCAGTCTAGTCGTCTATGTCTGATTCTCTTCTCCATAAGTTATATATCAGTCAATAGTTCACATATTTTCTTGAGCCATCGGAGAGGAAGAGAGAAAAACATCACGAAGGCAGGGATTAGGAGAGACAGATGGTCCCACACAACTGAAAGCATAATGTGTCTTCCTGGAATCTAACAGTTACAACTTTATGTCTTGATTTGTAGAAAATATGTTTCATTTTTCATTTCATAATAATGATTTGCTTATGGCTTGTTTAAGCTATAACTCCATTCGAACAAACTACATATTTCAAGGACTGATCACAGCCCGATCACATTTTCGATTATTGCAACTTGAGCTCAACATCAGTGCAGAGCTGAACAATATTTTTTTTGTTTTTTTCTGTGTTTTTTGTGTTTATGCGTGAAGAAAAATAAGAAACAAAGAGAGAGTGAATTATAGGCTAATGGCATGAGGTAATGTGCGCAATCTGGCAGAAACGGCTAAAAGCCATCCGTCTCATGGCTTATCTGGTCAAATGATTATGCGGCAAAGTGACGATGATGACAACAGAAGGCACACGTCAGACAAGTCTGAGGCAACCGAAAAGGAATAAAAGAAAAGGGAAACAAAATGATAATGGGTAAGAGAGCATAGCCATAAAGAAAATCTAAATGACCATATGGAAAGAGCTGGTTTGATTTGCGGAATATTATGTAAGATGATGGATTTCCATAGATGGCAGATATGTGTGGCGGCTTGATTGAAATAAGACAAGAACCGAAGATCTTTCTCGGTGAATGTTAGAAGCAGAAACGGAATTTTAATGAGAAAATTTTAAGAGAAAAATGTAAAAAACAGACAACGAAAGGGAAAATCATGTTTTTCTCCGTAATTAGAGATGATTCAAACGCTAATCGATCTAAATATCATCTATCAATTTCTATCAATTGTTTCCTTCACTCCTTCAATCGATATTTGCCATTCGTTTCTTCCTTAACCAGAACTTTATCAAATATTTGAAATCTTGTTTCCTTTTTAATAAATAAATAAACCGATTGTTATTATATTTGCACTAAGTATACCGTAATTGCACATTCCTTTTTGGGGGGTTGTTTGATCTTCAAAGATTTTCTTCTTATTCGAAGAAAACTATTCTACCAACTAACGTTACTCATGACGGTTAATTATCATAAAGAGATTATTAAAACTACTGGCCCACTAACATTCATAAAACTATTATTCAAATGGAAAGCAAGCATCTGGAAAGCTGTTTACATTGAAGTTTTCACTTTCCTTACCATATATTTCATTCTATCCATCATATATCGTACAGCATTATCAGCAAGTCAGATGAGGTTTTCATAAAATCACTTTCTTTAATATATTTTACTTTTGAGAACGTTTGAAACGACTGTTCGCTATTTCGACGCAAGATTATCTTACATACCTCTTGAGTTAGTTCTTGGATTTTTCTGTACGGCTGTCATTAATAGATGGACTAAGTGGTATCAAACTATTGGATTCATTGATAAGTATCATCCATACCCTCTATTTTCATTGATTTTTTTTCTTTTTTTGCAGTGTTGGTTTGATGACAGCCTTATACTTGCGCGGAACATGCGAACGTGCTCGTTTGTACCGAAGGAACATAATTAGATATTGCGAATTAGTTCAAGTAAAGTTATTCTCTATCTTTGCGAGAGTCCAGCCAGGCTTCTCTCGAATGTCTTGTACATTCACGTGATTTGAAAAAAATTTCTTACTTTACTTCACATAGGTGTTGGTGTTCCGAGACATTTCTATGCGAACAAGACGAAGGTTTCCAACTTTGGATACTGTTGTCGCTGCAGGTAAATAGAGTAAAGGTTCTATCGAAACTCATTTATCTAAGGTTTTCTTTTGCCCCAAGAGAAAGAATTACTCGACGAGTACGATGATCACGGAAAAACGCCGAAGTATTGGGTACCTGCAAACTGGGCCCTATCCATGACGTACAAAGCTTGGAAACAAGGTCATATAGAGAGTGATTACTTTAAGGCAGCCTTGGAGAAGGTAAGAAAATTAGAATGAAAGTAAAAAATAGAAATGAAATGTTCATTTGAGGAAATAAGAACCTTCCGAGAACAAATCGAATGGGTTTTCAATTATGACTGGGTCCCCATGCCGTTGATGTATCCACAAGTGAGAATTAATTATTAGCTATGTTGAAGCTGGTACATTTAGGTTGTGTGTCTTGCAGTTCATCTTCACTTCATGGTTGCACTTATTGCCAAACAATATATTGTTGAAGAACACCAGGAAACGGATAAGGTTAGTTTATTTTATGCTAATTTACAACGTATACGTGGACGTCTTCCCGGCCATTAAGTATTTTTCCTTTGACGTTATCGAAACACGGTTGTTTTTTTTTTCTCATTTCAATATTCTCATCACTAACTCTGCTTGGTTTAGATTGATGCTTACTTTCCATTCATGACATTTCTTCAATTTGTTTTCTATATGGGATGGATGAAGGTAAAAATATATCTTAGCAGTAATTCTATAAATATTCATAGGTTATTGAAGTTTGCATTAATCCTTTTGGTGAGGATGACGATGATTTTGAGACAAACGCTTTGATTGACCGCAACATTACGGTGAATAAGAGATAAACTAACAATGATAAACAAATTTATATTTCAGATGGGTATGATGATTGTTGATCGTGGATACAATCGTCCACCAGAAATGCAAAAAGATCCCTTCTGGGAAGATGATAACGTTCATCCTCTTTATTCTGAGGAAACTTCTAAAACTAGGAACTATCCTCCGCAGGGATCTGTCAGTCACATCAAGTAATCTTTTTCATCTTTGGTGAAGCTGTCAGCATCTTTTTCATAGATTGCCTTCAAATACACAAGAAGTGGTAATGATGCCTCACAGTAGCTCGATGAACAAATCCTTAGGTGGAAAGGTAGATGTCGAAACACCAGAAGTAAGATCTTCATGTAGGAGGAACACAGTGAGAGTCAAAGAGTAAGTTAACAATCGTATAGCTGTAGAATAAACAGGACGACATTTCATTTATTTTTTTCAGAGATGAGCGGGAACCGAATCGCCCACGAAGACAAAACTCTTATCTAGAGAGTTTTCGGTCTATCTTAGACAAATAAATTTTTTTTGAGCTGTGGATATATTGGAGGGAATGAAGCTGATCGAGCGCTTACTACTCAAACCAATATATTCTCACTTCGATGGGAAGCTTTGTTTTTGAACAATCTTAGACGATTCCCTCTGTGATTTTTTGAATGTATTCACATTCATTCGTTAAATGTGCAATATAATTTTGAATAAAATGTTTTTTTGCTTTGATGGAAAAGTGCATTTCCATGAACTATTACAAGTATGAATTATTAATGAGGAGAAAATTACGTACAGATATATGTATGTATACATATATTTGTTAAGACGAGCTAAATGTATTTTTCTAACAATCGTTGTGAGACCATTTTACAAATCATGTCTGGAACACTCCTTAACTCACATGCTCTATCGGGGACACTTCAATGACCGCTAAGACCCACGCCTTTTTTTTTTGAAAAAGGAAGTAGCCAGCCCAAGGCTTAACATTTTCTGATTTTCTTACAAGTTCTAAATGTTTAAATTTTATTTTCATCTCTTTTTTGTATTGTTTGTTCATTTAATTCTATATTATTTGCTCTACAATTGTGGCTGTATGAAGAACACTGCCGATTCTATAACTTAGTACTTTTATTACTTCTTGTCAGAAACCCCGATCTTCCTCCATAAACTTTTATTAGCTACGAATATTTCCTTCCTATTCCAAAAAAGTTGAATTTATAATTTGTAATCTTTCGAATATTTGAGTTTCCTTTTCAATTTCCCATACATTTTCCTCTTCCATTCTACTCTGTTCGTTTCATAGACCTTTTAGTTTGCTCTATCGATTGAGTTCCGAACTACTCGAATTTGAATATTTTTTGAAGTTTTACGAACGCAGTTCACGGCTTATGTCGTATAGATTGTCGTCGAATTAGTAGTGTCTGTTTGTTTTGTTTTCTTGTCCGTTAGTGTTTCTCGCATTCTGTCACCAATGGAGTGGCGTCATGCAACTTTTATCTTTTCGGTAGATCTATTCCAGCAACATTATAGAACACTAGACGGAACTTAGTACCCTTGTCCGCTAGCGGAGAAATCTGTCGACCTTGTATTGCAATATCCGCTATCCCATTGAGCACTGTAGGTGTTGAATGAATGGATGGGTTCACTTGTGAATGGTGCAGTTCAGCGGTCCTTTGGCCAACGTCTGGGCCACTTCATTTGCCCAACCACTTTCATTAATCTTTTTGACTGAACTATTTAGCGACAGTTAGTACCGTCATTTGTTCTTTTTTAGGCCATCCCATTAAATCCCAAGTTGTCTAAAATTTTCATAAATTAGATGCGCTTTCCTCGCGCTCCGACGTTATTTCTCGTTTCCGCTATCACAGAGCCATCTCGGAGATACTGTTATTTTTTCATGATTATGTCTTTAAGCGATAAGCCTATTTCATGTTTGCTAAGAGCATGGTACTACATTGATTAGGAGAAGGGAGGGATGTTTGTTTTTATTCATTAGCGGTTCTTCTCTTCCAGCTTATCTTCACAATTTATTGAAAGGAAGATAGAGCTTCGAACCGTCTTCTAGTTGCACAATCTTTTCTTTTCTTAATCTTGCTCGAGATGTTCGTTCTCTTCTCATTGTTCTCAACAGTCTGACCTTATGGCATTTAGGCCTCCATATTTATTTTCCCATGATAGTAATTGCCGTTTTGTTCCCACTATATACCTGTTTGTTATTCTCTTTAACTGTCTTACCTGGTCTTTTTGCAGTCAGATTCTTGTCATAACCCGTTATTTCTTCTCTTAGCTCTTGTACAGTTGTATGACATAAGGTATTGAGATCTTATTCCATGTCGATGCGTCTTCATGAAATATAGCGGGTCGTGAGCTGACTGAATTCACTGACTCATTTCGTTTTTCTTCGTTTGTTATTCTCTGCCTTAACGTTACTCCGCCCATTCGTCTAGTTTGAGCAGTGATGGACTGCTGTTGTTGGCTGGTCCAAAGCAAGTAACCCAACAAAGCCTGTGAACATCCATATGTTGCTAACATATGACCCAAATATTCCATTTCATAGTTTATTTTTCTTTTTTTTCTAATTATCCATAGCCTTTGTTGAAATCAATGAGATAGCTTTGACCCTTGCTGTGTGTCAACTAGTTTCTTTCGTTTAATCTTGTGCATGACATTTACATGCTTCGAATCCCCTTGTGATTGAATGAATTTTTAAACTTCTCTGTTTATCCCTCTTTTTGTGATTCAAATCATTTACAGACTAGTTGATATTGTGATATTTTGCATGGAATCTTCTATATTTAATGCCAACCACAACATTGGGAAAGGGTGTTTCATCAAGTATTGGTACGTTTTATTCATCCTTTTCTCTTTCAAGCAGCTCCTTATAGATACCATGGATAATAAGGAAAATGAAAGAGCTTCCACAGATTCTTCATCGGGCCCGATGTCTAGTTCCGAAATCAGAAAGATGACTCCGGCTAAGCATGACAAACTCATTCTTCACGAGTTTGACGGACAGGTTAAAGGTTAGTATGATGTGAATGATGTTTTTATACCGATTTGATATACACTTGATCCCAACACAAAGCTGTTTTCAATAGCCCTGAATCAACTCATCTTTCAAAACTTTGATTCCGATTTGAAACAATCGATTCGCTTCATTATAGTCATATGTTCATCATAGCGTTCTAACATTCTGAAAATGACTTATAAAGTTGGCTTATCAATTTCTGTATTTTATAAACGAGCATAAGGTTTGCGTTTCGTTCTAAGTTTTTTTCGAGTAAATTATAGCTTCACTCCTGCGAAGCAATGTTTTAACATTAATCTTCTCTCATTTCAATTTTGATTTAACTGCAAATTTTATATGAGAAGATTGTGTACGCCTGCTAGGTGTGTATATACACGTGTATAGTGTAAGAGATCTAGTCCCTCCTCTCTTAGAGCATCACTCTGTGATGTAATATGGGAGTGCGTGTGGCTACTCTGCTTTCTGTTCCAACTTTCTAATCGCTCAACTTATCTGTTCGTTCCACTGATTCTGCCTCTGGCAGTTTTCAGATCCCTAAAATGAGCTTAAAGATGCCACTGTGTGCAGCCTTAAGTCTTGACCATCAAACTGCCCAAGTTCAAGGTAAAATATACATATGAAAAAATATTTTACATTAGTGAAGCAAAACAAATCGTTTGTGATGAACTCGATTGAATCGGAGCTTGATTTTTATTCCAAGTTTTTGTGTGTTTTAGTCTGTATGCCTACTAGATTTCCATTTGCGTTCAGCAAGTTCAGGCGAAATTATTATAAACTACTGAGTTCTGACATAGTCAGTTCAATTTTACGATTGTCGCTTGTTGTTCGAAGGATGGCTATCCTGTCAGGTGTTCCAGATAGAATTGATAGAGAGGACGGAGAGTAGAAGATCAGAGTGTTTATGCAGCTTGAAGATGTTAATGGTGCGAAGATATAATGGTTTTCTTTTATTATGTAAAATTTGTGTATAGTAGGGTGGAGAAAAACCAGCTTTTTGTTCAAAGGCTCATTAACTTGATTTTTTCCAGAGATACGAGCTCAATTAACTGAGCAACTGAAATCTGTTGGGGAAAGGACAGAAATCCAAGTTGCCGTTCTAACGGAATTGGAGGACTTCTATAGAAAACTGTAAGTCCGCAGATGTGTTTTACGAAGGAAACTTTTTCACATTTCTCTGCTTAAATAAGATTTCTTACCATTGTTTATCCACAATTGAACAGTAATCTATCTTTTCTGCAGCTGGTATTAAGTACATATGTCTTAAGATTCCGCCTGTGTCATCTTTTATGTTTTACTGTTTCTTTTGCAGCGGTGAAGCGGAAGCTGAAAATGCCATTCGAGTGGAAAAATTGGCAAAGGCTACGATGCAGCGACACAAAGCTGAAAAAAATAGGTAACGTTCTGTCTTCTTTTATTGGAATAGCTTCTTCTACCCTCTCATCTTCTCTTTGATGGATTGAGTAGCGTGGCAACCTTCTTTTTTTCTTTAAAGAGAGGTACAATCAATATTCTTGTTGTCTGACTCTCATGCATTCGTCAATGTCAATCGTTGGGCTTAGATGACTTTACTCCTCTCTCACTCTTATAATTATGAATTTTTGTGAATGGGGGTATTATGTTCTGTGCTTAACATATCTCAAGAATTTTTCCTCCAATAATTTGTTAAGTACACCTAAGCTCCGTAGATGGTTTGCGGAAATAGACTTCTCTCGACTCGAAAGCTGTTCTTTTTAGCACCATGTCCTTGTTGAGATATAATCTTAATAGCAGGTTACGTTCACTTCAGAACGAATTCGCAATGTCCGAAAGATTCGATACGATTGTCGGCTGTTACCAGATTACGTAGACGGTTTTACTTCTCGTTATTTGATACTAGACATATCTTTTTATGGTTCTAATCTGTCACAACTAATCTTGGTTTACATGTTAGGCCATGTTTGGGAAACTGATATATGACTTTCTTTCAAACATAGGAAGTTACAATCTGTGGGGCTCAGAAAATTAGTGCTATTGCCAGGACTGCTTCTGTTAAATCTAGCAGAATGTTGTTCTTTATACGAACAACTGAGATTATCGAATTAGGAAATTCATTCATCTACACTTAAATGAACAAAAATTCTTTGTTGGACGAGATCTGTCTTCAGAAATGGGAAAGAATGTCTTGTTTGAATCCATTTAGAAACCTTGGGGATTTGAAGTTCTTATGCAATATATAATATATCCTCAAATTAAAATATTTGAAAAAGAACTATTTCTCAAAGTATAGTTCAAGGTTTAGAGGGTTTCGTTCAGACAATTTCGCATATAATTTTCTTCAATTGCAGAAGAGATGCGTGGGCCCAGCATAGTGCATCGTCTGTGTTCCAGCAAGTTGTAGATGATGCGCGAGAAGCAGCACAGCAAAAACAGGCATATTCCGTGAGATTAGTCTTTCATTATTTATTCTCTTTCAGTTCATGGCCGATTTCTATCAAAAAGTAATTACTTCAAGTATTGGCTCGAGGTGTGATGATTTGGCGAAAATAAGCAAACGAGTAAGGAATAAACTCTTGACAATTTCTAAAAATTGTTTAGTGTCGAGAAATCGGAGCACTCTCTCATAGCGAAATTAATCGTGTTCTTAATGAATTACAAACGGCCATGAAAACGTACCAAGTGAGTATATAGAAATGAAGCTGTTCTGAAAGGTTTTTCCAGATTTGTCACACAGAGCTAGTTGGAGTGGAGAAAAAACTGCGTGCTGCTGAGGAGGATAAGAGGCGATATGAAGAAGCTAATAAGGGGAAAAGTCCTTCAAGAAAATTAAAGTCTCTCACAAAATATTACAATCGGGTTTGTTTTTATGCTTATGAGAAGTATTCATCCACTATTTCAGAGAGAAGAAAAGTATGCTTTGATTCGATACAAGTGCACAAAAGCACGTAATGAATATTTGATGTGTGTACGAGCAGCTAATGCAGCTCTTCATAGGTTGAAATTTCTTTAATCTTCTCTATTATCTTTGTTTTTTTTTAGATTTTTCGCTGATGACCTCAGTTATCTCATAGATTGTATGGATCTCGGGCTGGATTTCTGGTTAAAATCTCTTTTGGGTAAGCTATCTGTTCATTCATTCTAAACGAAGAAGCTAGTACGTCTTCGATCTTTTCTTTTCTTCTGTTGTCATATGAGATGGTAGTTGAGCATTCATGAACATATAGACTTTAAGGAAATTTAATACAATCATTGAAATGTTGTGTATGTTATGGTCAAGTTTTCTTTAAAATGAACCGTAGGTGTAATGTATCGAGCATCAGCTGCTCTTATTTGCTTTGACATCTAAATTGGCGTTCTTTGGGAATCAACTCTTCTGTATTTCAGACCATGTCATAGATGTTAGAAAACGATTGACTCAGAGAGAAATGGATTCTCTCGCTGAGTTAGGTACTTTACGGTCATCGTTAGACTCCAAAGCTGATAAACAACGATTTTTCGAAGCTCATCATGCCACTTTCATGCTCCCAAAACAGTTTGAATTTAGGTTTGTTATCCGTTCCGGTCAGCACATTCTAAGAACATTTTTCAAGGCCTCAAATTGGTGATGATATTAGTACTGTTTCGGCTGAACGAGGCCTCATGATTGATTTGTCTCAGCGCCAAAAGCAAATAGAGAAACGTCTTCATGGGTTAAGACTCGAAAGCGATGAGGTTGGGTTTCTTATGTAGAGTGCTCAAATGAATTAATTTCCAGTTATGGAAGACTCTTGAAGCTTGCGAACGACATTTGCATGAACTCTATAGAGACACACCTACGGATTTAGTTAAATGGAGAAAGGATGTTCTGGATGCTTATCAGTATTATCTTGAGGTTTTTCTTGGTCATACTTTCTCAACTCGATTTTTTCTCTAGAAGTTCGAATGTTTCCTACTCAATGGAAATTTGATTGAGCGGCTTGAGGCCCGAACTAAAGCTATCGTGGAAGCTTTAGTAAGAGAAGGAGGTAGGATTGATTGATAAGCCCTATTCAAAACTTGTTTTGTTCAGAACCAAGAGAGTCACTTACTGTTATCTCAGATGATATCACTCGAAAGAAAATTCGACGAATCGGAGGGACAGCTCCGGATCTTACCCAACCCCGCCCAAAGCTATTCGGTAATTTAGAAACAAATTAGTGTCTTCAATATTCCTTCCAGGTGGTAGTTTGGATGAGTATGTTGAAGCTACTGGTGAATGTATTCCCTTGGTCGTTATGTCTGCTATTGGGTATTTATCAAGGTTTTCTTTGAGAAATCAGGGTCTGTTCCGTATAAGTGGGTCTCAATCTGAAATCACTCGGTACAAAGAATGCTATGAAAGAGGTTGTTCTTGGTTCTGAAGTTTCTGAGTAATATAAATGTTTAGGAGAAGATGCATTTTCCGACCTGGTCGATGGGTCGGAGTCAAACTCTGTTGCCGGAGTTTTGAAATTGTATTTACGAGAACTTCGTGAGCCTTTGTTCCCAATATTTTTGTTCGATCAGTTTACTGATTGTGCCAAAGCCGACAGTCCCCAAGATTTCATAAGAAAGGTTAGAAAGCTTCTTTAACTAAATGCGAACAGAAACTTTGCAGACGAGAGAGCTTATTTCAAAGTTACCAGTTTGTAACATTTTACTTTTACGATATCTGTTCGGCTTTCTCTCACATCTTTGTGAGTTCGCTGATGAAAATATGATGGAGCCTCATAGTTTGGCAATTTGTTTTGGTCCAACCCTTCTTCCTATACCTGAAGGGAAAGATCAGGTAAAGTTCGAATATGATGGTCTGTTTAATCATCATTCTTAGGTGTTTTACCACAACTATGTGAATGAACTTGTGCGTGGGTTGATTGTTCATTCATTGGAAGTCTTCCCAAGTGAACCTGCTGGCCCATTATATGATAAATACGTCATTTCAACAGCTTCTGAACATTTGGGATACATGGATGATGGGTAAGGACATGTTGTTTTTATCAATGTATCGATGGTTTCTCCAGTGATGCTTCTGAAGATGAAGACGTCATTCATCAGCATATGTCACATAACGATCATGATAATATGCTAGATAGCACTTATGAAATGTCTATTAGCACTGATGCTGATATTCCACCATTACCTCGAATAACAACCAATGTTCAAGTTTCTCCTAAAGAAGATATCTATAGTCAACCAAGTCTCTCTAGCAGGTTTCGCTTCTCTCTATTCTCAAATTATCTCATTGAATAACTTGTAGGTCGTCCAACCGATCAGCATTTGATGATCACTTCAGAAGAACATCTGAGGAAAATACAACTCCTCCACTACTCAGAACCGATATACCATCTCGGATTGCAAACGAACTTACCGTAAAGTTCGCTCAGCGTGATCAGAAAGAAAGAGAAAAAACCATTTCTCCTTTATCTCGGTAAATCAATCATCTGTTCAATGAAACAATTCTGATTTCTTTAAGCCCGATTTGGGAAACTGAAAGACCAGATTCTCATGCATCAACTATTTCTCAATCGTCTACAGGCTATTCTGTTACTCGAATGCCTGTTATGACCTCTCTAAGAGATCAACTTCAACACTTACGGAGGGAACTCAATGTTAAGGATGATAATGCAAAAGTTTATCCTTTGTAAGCTTGGCCGAACTTCATCAAGCGTGACGACGTTGTTTCAGGTCTGATGGTCTTCAAAACGGGAAAACTCAGAGAATATCTCTTTTAAATGACAACACTATTCTCGATGCTCGTGGATCGAGTAGAAGCTGTGACAGTGCCATATCGAGACATACTCCATGTGATCAACCGAGCTCTGATGCTTCAAGTTCAGCTAGTTCAAATGATTTTGACGATTCCCACATAGTTAGAAGAAGATCTGATGTACAGTCAGAGTACGTTAAATTTTGTACTGGTTAAAAAAACCGCTTTGTTTTCCAGCATTTACAGTTCGACTACACCAACCAAGCCATTACGCGGACTCTCTCCTCCGTTAGAAGAACTCGCGGCTGCTTTGAAAGAAGCGAAGTTTGACTGAAAGAGGAAGCATCGGAAACCAAAATATGTAACTTCGAAGTAGTAAACTAGTATTTATATCACACTTTAAAAATTGTACATTTGTATTGTAAATAGAATGTATGTAATCGGTGTTAGTATAAGCTCGGGAAGTTCATATATTCATTCCCACCAAGATTCGAATGTGTCGTGTTTGTTATTTCTGAAGTTCTTACAATTCTTTTCCTTCTTTCTTAAGTGCGGGTTCATTGTTTCATGTGCTTGTGAGATGCATACTATCAATTTTATTTAATTAACTGCTCAAAATCTTTTTACCAATTTCTTTCTCATTATTAATTTAACCGTTATTGAAACCACAAATGTGTTATTCATTTTGTTATAATCGTCGACCATCTCAACAAAAATTAATAAATCTGCATATAGCTATTGTATGCTTAATAAAGAATTCAAAAGTCCCCTCCTGGTGTTTTACTCACAATTTGTAAACTGTCTGATACGTACTTCTGTTTATAAAATTAGTTTGATGTATGCTGTCTCTGTGTTACAGCAGAATGAAGAAGCTGCTCTTCTCAACTATTAAAAATGGAATTCTTTCGCGAAATCGGGCAGTAAGAGAAATGAACAAAAGAAGAATACTACAACTTTTCAGATATCGAATTGTTGTGTGCTAGGAAATTCCAAAAAACCCCCAGAAGAACCTTATGAGGGTCTATGTTGCGGTCAAGGGTGCAATAATTGTGTTTGGATTGAGTATGGGAACGGTCTGATAGATTATTACCGTATAGCTTTCATCATTATCTAGTGTATCTATTTTTTCCAGAGGGAATGGACAGAGAAAAAGTTCTTTCTGAAATTTGTACAAAAGTCAAAGACCCGAACGTAAGAGCTTTTGTACTAGCGGAACTAACCATGGCTTGGAAGAAGCGTAATCAGATCATTAATCCACCTGATGAATAAGCGGTAATCACGTTATCTATCTATTTTAAACCCCTTGAACTAGTAATAGTTATGTTGAACAAACCAAGCGCTTATGCGTTTCCTCTGTGTCTAGAGGAGTGAGTAAGCCTACTGGTTCCTGACCCTAACCAGAACTATGTAGAAACTCGTCGCAATAGAATTTCTATATCTTCTTATCTTTCAGATGTAAAGCTAATCGAGAAATAAAATGCCGTACGCCCATACTATGAATCTACAACAACAAATTTTCTTCCTTACGAAGTCTACAAGTGAAACAAATGTTTGAACTAAATGAAATTGATGAATTATTTAGATGTATAGGCGTTGTTTTCCCAACTTTCATCTTTTGAAGAAACATTTGTGATCTCAAGACTTAAAAGATAGATTAGATGAGCAGAACACGCAACTAGTTACGAGCTACCAGTTCATCGTTGAATATCCTCACTCTAAGCGTTGCTAAATTGGATCATTAGCAGATATCTGTTGTTGGCACCACCACAGCTCGAGGGAAGAATTCGTTTTTATTGCTTTGAGAATGCGACCGCTCGGTACTGATTAAAATGAATAAATGAGATAACCTATGTACAAGAGTAACGAGAGTTTTCCCACTGTATTTCGAGAGTTATCGATTGATATTCGAATTTATCTTCGAACAAGTCTTGCAATACTTCTACTTGAGATTTTTTTTAATTTTTTCAAATTTTTGTCCTCGATCGAAGTGTCCAACATCTATTTTGCAGATTTCCTGCCTCAACATGAACAAGTAAAGATATTCAGGCACGGACAAAAAAGTAAGAACAGTGGTTAAGCAAACAACTTCAGTTACAAGAAATTGTAAAATCATGACCTCTATTTTTAAAATTCACATTTACTCCTTAAGTGGGATTTACACGACTGTTGATTCCAAAGCTTGAAAAACTTCAGTGTTATTCTTGATTTTTGGCAATGAAAACCTCAACTTGCCTAGAATGAAGTTCATCTGGTCAAGATGAGATAGTTTTCTGTTTCAACCAGTTTCAACTCGCATGTTATTATTGGAGACTTCTTTTTAGGTTAAAGCACAGTTATAAGTTCCGTTTGCATTTGTTTCAAAAAGGGAAAGTTGATTGGCCGTTGAACTTTCATGATTCTTGTCGAACGTTTTTTGAGGAAAGCAGTCTGAAAACTGAATTAGATTCTCTCTTGATTGGATCCGGAAGGGTTTAATAATTATTTATTTTTTCTATGACAGTTTTCTCCTTTAATTCTATTTCTTTCGATTTCTTATCGTTGTTGGGAAATTGAAGAAGATGCACCCTAACTGGTTACTGTTTATGGCTGGTATGGGCTACAGGCTTCAGTTTGATTCTAAAGGATTCCGTATATGTCATCAAGTCATATCCTCAAACAGACCTATTTTTCAAAAGAAAAACGTGCTTGATAGGACTTCTCAATGGTTTCCGCTCTTGTTTAATCCGTTCTTCGGGATGAGAAGGGAATGTTTCGAAAAAGTTGGAAAACTGTAAGGGAGTTTCTCTGTCATCGAAAGGGCGAGAGCTAAAAAACTGAAGAGGAAGTTTACTAAAATGTTCTCAACTGTTCTCGACGAACCTTACTTCATAATTCGGTTACAGTTCATATATAGGTTCAGCAGTCTTTGAAAGATATAGTAAGTATCCTCAGAAATAACAAGAGAAACTTAATTTTATCTCTCATTCCTCTTCTATTGAGATGAGGTCAGTAATTGTTCATCGGGAAGAGGACAAAACGTGTTTGAACGTTTTGTTTTCTTTTCAAGTAAAGAAAGGCAGAGAAAACTATTAAAATTATCTTTTTTGAAAATATTTTTTTAATGAACATTTCGATCAACTACGTTGTTACTCTCTTGGAAAAAGAGCATCAGAATGGGAAGAGACATCAATGAACTTCAGAAGATCATTAACACATTTCAAATGGAACTGGACTTTACCTTGATATCTAATTTGCTACTGTTCCATTATATCTTCATTCTTTCATGTTCACCCGATCCCGCTTGTTATCCATTCTAGGCGTGCCCGTTATACTCCGCCTCCACCAGCAAGCTGTGAGGGGAACGTGCTGTGCACACTTCTGTCCAGCTTGGAATGCCTAGCTGTCTGAAGGACTAATCGACTTCCCCGAAAGAATTGTGATTCCGTATTCTCTGAAGACACGCTTTCTCCATCATCATTCTCATAGCACTCACTATTATCATTGATATATCTGGCTTCATAATTACTCAATTTTTACTGAAAATGTCTATAAAACACTATTTACTGATCGCATGGATTCTTATTGGCAGTATAGATGCTATAAATGAATTCGGATTACCTATCTATAAACATGATAGTTTTGAGTATGAAGCTTCATTGCCTGACAACCGTGATACAAAATACTACCCTCCTCCGGATGTTGCCTCAGGAAAGGATTCTGAGTATTCTCAAGCCAGGTAAGAAGTAGATTTAATACTTGTGAATGTGTGCCCATATCACGTACATTATTTTATATTTTTGAGTCCAAAGTGCTCAGTTGTATTCTGACCTTTGTTGATAAGTATTGATTATTTTTCAAAAATGTCGTTCTCATGAGATACAATAGCTAATACTTACAATTGAAAGAAAACATTCAACTATTTCTTTTAGTGTTGAACAAATTCCGAAAAAGCGAGAAATAGACTCTTTGGAAAACATTGATGAGAGATCGCTGGAAGATCTACGAGAGAAGTCTCGTTTTTCGAGAGCGGACGGTATAAACATTCCTTACGAATGGGTATATGATCCAAGAAGTAACAGTAAACATCGGTTTACTGTTAACAATCTGGGACAATCTGAAATGGTGAGTCACGCTTTTAAAATTTGCAAAATATAATGTCTGTTTAAGGTGTTAAATCAATTCTATGCCGGAGGAAACGGTGGAAAGCCATATGCAACTCCCCCACCTGAGTCTCCAGAAATAGAACTCGAGAAGGAATCCACAGGACTTGAAGGTTCAGATATCAAATCAAGAATTAATAAAAGACATGAAGAGAGATTGGAAAGTGGTAATCACGAAATATATATAGTTCAACGATTAGGCTATTTCTAGAAGAGCAGTCGGAAGAGGCTCCGGAAAATTTCGGTGAAACCTCTGAAGCATCGGTGAAACGTTCAGTTGATCAAATAGAGGTATGACCTGGGATTTATAGTTAATACTCTTTCACACTTATTTTCAGAGCAGTGGATACTCTTCTCGTATAGGTATGTTAAGCTTACATCTCTGAGGGAAATAACATGGCTTACATTAATGCTTGCTAACTTTGCATTTGCTATTGCAGACATTCAGAGCTTCGTTCCTCATGAAGTTGACGAGTTCCCAGATGGTTACGACGGTATTAACATTTTGTTGTTTGATTTTTAAGTTTGCTTTAATGGTCTAGTCATAGTTGTCCTAAAAACAATGCAAAAACAAAGTTGTTATATTCAATATAAGCTTAAACCCTCAATGATTAGTTCTACATTAAAAACTCTGAATTGACCATCATTGCCTGCAATCAAGTCTTAACAGGTTCTACTTATGCTTATAATGCTTATCCTAGGTTTATCGTCTTTGCCTATCTCCATTAACATTCAGCCATCGCATACTCCATCGTTTACTGGAGCTTCAATTCCTGCTGCCGAACAGCTTCTAGAAGTGGAGCCTGCAGAACAGTCGGAGGAAAACAGTGAGGATGAGGTCGTCGAGAAATCGTATTATGTCTGGAGAGCAAGAGCCCCCTTTGCTCCACCGACTATGCAGTTAACCCGTTTGTTTTAATTTGTCAATCTGCCCTCGCACGCACTTCCATGCCCACACTTTTCTTCATCTAACAGGAGTGAAACTGGTATTGCCCCCATAACTGACTTCATCAAACAAAAATCTTTCATTGCAAGCTATTTACTGTGTAACATGTTCAATTATCTTTAATTACATCTTTATTGTCATCTAATCTAGTTTTATCCTCAAGCTTACCCAATCTTACTTTCATGTTTAATCCAATAACGGGGAAATCAGGCTAGAATCAGCTAGCGCTTTTTGTCACCTTGCCATTCGTCTTGCAGACCGCGGTTCCGGCTATTCCACAGTGGATAACGCTGCTCTATCTGCAAAAGCTGCTTGCATACCTTGTGATGAACCCAATGGGAATTTAGCTTCTTCAGGAGACAATGCTCTGGCGCCAGAAGAAACCGGAAGTTATGATAAGATTGAAGAAGGTCCCACAGGTATTCATATACCAGTGGTATCTTTTGGCTTCGAAAGAATCATTCAGAACCTAAAGAACAAACATACCCTTCACCCTCTTCAAACACATATTCAAAACCAGAACCCCCTCTCCCAGCACCTCCACCAGCGTACTTAGCTCCCGGTATTGCAAAATATATCGGGCACAAAATCTATATAACTTTCAGTGTCTTACCCTGCCCCAGCCCCTGCTGTCTCGTCTTCTGAGTCTTACCCATCCCCTGCCGCACAATCAGGTTCATCAGATACTTCGTATCCTGCACCTGCACCAGAGCCTGAAGAACCTGCTTATCCAGCTCCAGCTCCAGCTCCAGCTCCCGTAGAACCAACTTACCCTGCCCCGGCTCCTGCTCCAGTTGAGCCATCTTACCCTGCTCCAGCTCCAGCTCCAGTTGAACCATCTTACCCTCCTCCAGCTCCTGCGCCAGTGGAACCAGCTTATCCTGCTCCAGCTCCAGCGCCGGTTGAACCTTCTTATCCTGCTCCAGCTCCAGCTCCAGTTGAACCATCTTACCCTGCTCCAGCTCCTGCGCCAGTGGAACCAGCTTATCCTGCTCCAGCTCCTGCTCCAGTAGAACCATCTTACCCTGCTCCAGCTCCAGCTCCAATTGAAACATCTTATCCTGCTCCTGCTCCTGCTCCAGTGGAAACATCTTACCCAGCTCCAGCTCCAGCTCCAAAGCAGACCTCATATCCAGCACCAGGTCCAGAACCTCCTATTCCTTCAAATCTTGCCCCTGCTTCTGAACCTGCTTCTGAAACTTACCCTGCCCCATCACCAGTCGCTCCAGAGCCATCTGCTCCAGAACCTCCTGTTGCATCTTATCCAGCACCAGCTCCAGCTCCTGAAACGGAATCTTACCCATCACCCGCCTCCGCCCCAGAGGCCGAATCGTACCCTGCACCAGCACCAGCACCACAGGTTGAATCGTATCCTGCACCAGCTCCTGCTCCCGAAGCTGAAACATACCCAGCACCCGCGCCAGCATCAGAAGTTGAGTCGTATCCTGCTCCTGCTCCTGCTCCAGCTCCTGCTCCAGCTCCAGAATCGTACCCTTCACCTGCACCAGCGCCTGAGTCATACCCAGCACCCGCACCAGCTCCAACGATAGAGTCGTATCCTGCTCCCGCCCCTGCTTCGGAGTCATATCCTTCACCTGCACCAGCACCAGCCCCTGAGTCATATCCTTCACCTGCACCAGCACCAGCCCCTGAGTCATACCCTTCGCCTGCTCCAGCTGCTGAGTCATACCCAGCACCCGCTCCTGCTGCTGAGTCCTACCCTGCACCTGCTCCTGCTGCTGAATCATATTCACCATCCGCACCAGCTTCTGAATCTTATCCATCACCCGCTCCTGCGCCTGCTTCTGCTCAATCTTATAATTCAGGAAATTCTGCTGGTGGTCAGGAAACATCATCATATGATGATAAGGATGATTTGCCTTTGCCTTCCCCTGCTTCTTCGTACTCTGCTGGCAACTCTTATTCAGGTCCAGCACCTGCACCAGCACCAGCACCATTAACTCCTCCGGAAGATCTTGCTTCTGAACCGGAGCCCACTAGCAATTCAGACGCATCTGAAAGTTCTTCATATTCAGGGCCAAGTGAGTCTTCTGGTGGATCATCTTACCAAGAAAAAACCGAGACCGCAAGCGGAGGATCAACGTATTCTGAGACACAAGCTCAGGGATACGGTGAATCTCAAGGAGAATATTCCCCTAGTGCAGCACCCGGGCCATCAAAGCCTGAAAGCTCCTACACAGACTTGGAGGAAGATCATGATGTTTCACCCTATCAGAAACAGCCAGCTCCAAACGTGCCTGAAGAAGTAACTCCTTTAGGGTCAGGAAGTTATGGAGATACAACAATCGAAGAAACACCACAAGCATTGATTTCTGCTTACTCGTAAGTTACGTTGTAGCAAATAATTACAATGTCAGATTATAACAGAGGTACTGTCGCAAAAACAGAAACACCGGACAGCTACACTGATCCCGTCCAAGTTGTTCCATCCAGCTACTCTCAACCTCAACCACAGCCGCAACCACAACCACAACCACAGAGTTCATATGCACAAACATCTTCTAATTCGTACTCAGGTATTTTCAAATTTTTCTTCTCATAAACTCTAGTTGTTTAGCTGGATACCAGATGCCAACGTTGCCACAGTTCATTCCTCCTCCTCCTATTTCTACTATTAGCTCCTATTCTCAGCCAGCAAATGTAAGCTCATTTAAAGCATTATTCAATTTTGTAATGCTTTGTAGAACTATGCTCAAACTAGCTCTTATTCCCAGCCATCGCAAAGCTCATATGCTATACCATCACAAAGTAGTTACGCTCAGCCATCACAAGGCGCTTATGCTCAGCCTGCACAAAACGCCTATTCCCAGCCTTCCCCAAGTTCATATGCTCAACCGCTGGTATATTTTCTAAGATTACTGCTCTGTTCTAATCACATTTTCAGCCATCCAGTTATGCATCAGCACCATCATCTTATGCAGCCCCTCAGGTTAGTTTTGACGATTGAAGCAAAAACACTGAAAATATAGCAAAGTCAATGCTGTGGAGGACAACTGTTCAGTCGACAGGGCTCTCTCTGTATGCCCATATCATTCAACCCTTGTCAGCAACAAGCACAACAACAATCTTGCGGTGAGTTGAGACTTCAAATGAATTTTTAAAAGTATCACATAGGCGGAGGCTGTTCTGCTCAATGCCCATCGTCATGTGGATCTTCTGGTCAACAGTGCAACTCGAACTCAGGAACACAATGCTGTCAACATGTACAGTTTTCTTCCTTCAACTTTGCTTTATATAACTTTCTAGTCGTCGCCCTTGTGTTGTTCAACGCCATCTCCAACGCAGGCTTGTTGTAACTCTTTAGTTCAAACCTGCTGTCCACAATCAGCTCAGCAGTGTTGCAATCAACAGGTACTATCTTCGATATTCAAATTTCTTCATAACTATTTCAGTCACGTTCCTGTTGTCCACCAGCAATTCCTTCTTGTTGTTGTCAGAGATCACTCTGCCGACGAAGAAAACGGTATGACCGGATAGTGTTCAAGTTATCAAATTGATTCTTTAGATCTATTCCTCATCTTTTCCCTGACATGTGCTCATCATTCGCAGGGTAAACCGGAACTACAAGAAGCTTTCTACAACGTCAGCTTAATGTGCCTTATAATTTAATATTTTACCTCATCAATTAAGTATTTATTTATTTTGATTCGGTGATCGTATATTGATTTGTGTCTCATTACTTGCATCTTTGCTCAATAAACGCCGAAATACAAAAAACTGAAGAATCATACTATGTTCTGATTTGTTGCCTCGAACAAACTATACTATCTTGAAGTAAATGATTTATTGTTGATACACCTATCATGATACTGACACTCTCATCAATCGTGAACAGCCGACAGTCTGCAAGGAACGGAAGTCAATACAGAGTCAGTTGAAAAGGTTTATAAGTTCAGTAAGTCTGTTTTCGTTAAAGAGAAAAGTATATGTTTCGTTGTGAGGAATTGAAGATACGGTTAAGCTCTGAAATGGGAATGGCCTTGTGTGTCATTGAATAGAAATTTAATTGTGGCTAATTCATTTCAAATGCATCATAGATTCTTAACAATGGTTTCACTTTTTGAAACCAGAGTAAACAAACATTTCTCTCAATCTAGTTGTTTCGAACTAGAACTTTTACTTGTAAATTAATTTTTCTTATTACAGATAACACTCTGCAATGGTAATATCGAAATAGAGTTCTCTTCTCAACAGGTTTCATGAAAAAGTTGATCGAAAACTGAGACAATCTAGCAACATCTGCTTTTTTCGGAAACAAAAAACGGAATTCCGTGATTGATGTTGCGCTTGAAGACTTAACTCCTCATTTTGGTCAACAATCTTTGTCTACTTTTTCTTAACACTTTTTGCAACATTTTGTATAATCTATTCCGAATTACAACTTTACGAATGTTCTACCTCTCACCGCAATCTGATGGTTTCTTCTCTCTCTTACCTTCTACCCTTCTGTTTCTCTCTTTGATCATTCTATTCTAACATCTTCACATTCATCTTTTTTAGTCGTTTGAAAATGCAAATTATGGTACGTCCCCCACCTCACCCTCCATATAAAGACAGGACAGAAACATCTCATCCTCAGTTTCTCTTGATTCGACTTTGTTGGTTTTCAGTTATTTCTTGAACGTTTTTCATTCTTATAATTCTTAGATGACGCCTCTGTCGTTGATAGTAAGCGTCTCATCGTGCGGGGCAGCTTTTGCTCTATTAGCCGCTACAATCTTTCTGCCACAACTTTATTGGGACATGGCTGATCTTCAAATGGAAATAAGCGGAGCTGTTGAACAGTTTAAGGTACTATTGAGAACAAATGTTTCTGTTTCATTTCACTGTTTTTTAAGGCTGATACTGATTCTTCATGGTCCGAGCTTATGGATCTCCAATTCGTCTATGTTCCATCTGCATCTAAAGCTTCTAATCCTCGAGAAAATCCATTGCTCAGACGCGAGAAACGGTAGTTCATATCATCATTATACTAATTGAGTTTGTCTACTTAGTTTTGCTGAACTACCAGATTGGTGTCAATGTGATTCCATGCCTCAGTGCCCACCTGGACCACCTGGTCCACCAGGATCTCCCGGAGAGCCAGGAAGTAATCTCTGCTCTATGAAGTTATATGAAATAATTTTCTTTTTCAGCTCCTGGACTTCCAGGGCCCCGTGGACTTGACAATGTTGATACAAGCTACTCTGTTTCATGCAATCCACCTGAACCAGGATGTATTTCCTGCCCAGCCGGACTCCCAGGACCAAAAGGACCTGATGGGCCACCAGGACAGCGGGGAGTTGATGGGCACCCAGGAGCCCCTGGAATACCTTCTGCAGAACATGGAGCACCAGGAGCACAAGGACCTCCAGGAGATGCTGGCTCACCTGGTTCCCCTGGTAACGATGGTGCACCTGGTCTTCCAGGAAAAGATGGAACTGTTTACAAGAAATCTCCCGGACCTAGAGGAAATCCTGGACCTATCGGACCAAAAGGAAACGATGGAGAACCAGGCTCTGATGGAGCTGTTGGAAAACCAGGTCCACAAGGAGCTGCGGGTGAACCAGGTCTACAAGGCCAAGTTGGAAACCCAGGTTTACAAGGAAAAGAAGGTGAGGCAGGCTTCCCTGGACACGATGCTGAGTATTGCCCATGTCCTCCACGTTCTCTTTTATATCTTCGCCGAGCTGTTTGAAGCGGGCAACATAACGAGAAATTGAATTGAAACCAAATGATTAGAGTGTAACACTTTCAAATTATAGATATATATTCTATATTTAAACTCTGACCAATTATGGTACAAATCATATAATTTCCTCTGTGCTTATTAAACTTTGAGTTCATTTTCTCTTTGATTCGTGAAATGAAATAAATCCTACGAGAAACAAGATTGATTGAACATTCTTTTCGTCACGTCATTTCGAATATTTTTTTTTGAAAATATTTAGAGCAAATAAGACAATTTCAGGACGAACAGACACTAAAATACGTTTTTGTCCAGTAAAGTTAAAGACCTGAAAGACGAAAGAAACTAGGCAGGTCAAGATTTCATCTTAACTGATCATAGATCAGTTTCCTACAGGGACAGATATTTTCTTAGCACTTTCTGTCGGCTGTCCTCCTTTTCTATCTCCATAGAGTATTTGCACAATATTTGGGGAGGTAGTCAGTATTCAAATACACTTTTCTTGAGAAGTAACTAACATCCCACCTGCAGCCATAGAAGAAAGCTCAAATACAAGGTGTGTATTGCAACTGCTAACCCAGAGCGTTTTTATCTCGTTTTGCTGACCTCTTCGAATACCTTTCCTTATTTGTCTCATTGTTTGAATAATATACATTCGTACGTTACTTTCTTTCAACGGACAGAGAAATAAGTTAAAAAGGAGAGAAAGAGACGAAAAAATAGATAAAGATAGACTGGGAACAAAACAGAGAACGCCGCACTTCTAAAATAGAGACGCAGAGTTATAGTCTTGTTGCAGACTTGAATTCCCTTCTTGTCTAAGTCTGCCAGCTAGTAACACTGAGAGAATGGAGAGAACTTCTCTTTTATGTCTGTTATCCGTCCAGACCATTTCATGTCTTCATATAACAAATTTACATAAATTGAACGTTTTGTCAACGTAGACGTCAGCACGAAAATGTTCCATTCAATTTTACGTGTCAAAAACAACGACCACTTCATTTTTAAAGTTTAACAAATATATTAGCACGTGCTTTTTCTTTTTATTTTCCATTAAATATTAATTCTTGGACTCAGATATGTCTAGACGATGTGTCTTCTTTCTTGTTCATATCTGCATCCTTGACAATCTTCGATTTTCCTGGTTAGTCTGTGTTGAATATGTTTTTTCATTATTTCGATAGTCGGTTGACTGATAAAATGATTGAGTCTGGCGTTAAGATCTTATATTTTCCATATGACTAGACATTCCAGACTTCATGTCGGCTTCAGTTCGAATTTAATCGATTCAATGATAAGATTCATTCAGTTATTGTTTCCGTTTTTCCAGATCTCCTTTTGAACTCACTAACAGTGTTTCAATGCAGAAAGGTCATTTTGTCTCGTTTCCCTATGATGTCATTTTCAATCTTTCATTGATTTTTTTTAATTTAGAATGTTTCATTTCAAAAGATATAGCCTTCCTTATTTGTATTCATTTGTGCCGTTTATTTTCGTTTTTCAACTCTTTAACATGCTCACATCCGTGCTTGACTTTTGAATCCTCCGAGAGAGGGTTACTGTCACTTTTCTTATTTTACAGACTCTATGTATACGAACCATGTGATTGTGCCAAACATCGTTTCTTTAACACCCACTCTGTTTTTAACTAGGTAATGACTTGAGTTGTATGCAAACCTATCCGTTTGAAGCATGGAGACAGAGCTTGCTATGATACCTAGCACCTCAACAGATCCCCAGATTCCATGTTTTGTGCCAAAAGAAGAACCAATCCTAGACTCACAACCTAATACCCCTAGTCAACTTTTACGAAAAGTTTGTTCTGCCTTCTTATCAGTTATCATGCTGAAACGATTAAGGTACCGGCTTGTTCAATTTGCGGAGCTGATTCAACAGGTATCCATTTTGGTGTCGATGCTTGCGCAGCTTGTTCGGCATTTTTTCGTCGAACCGTCGTGCTTAATAAAGTATATATCTGTAGTAGAGGAGGAGCTTGCCCGATATCGAAAGGTTAGAACTAGTTGATATGAAACGACTTCCTTGAAATTAGCTCTTTCAACTCAATGATTTCAGATGCTAATGGTCAGAAGTGCCGCGCTTGTCGGTTCAAGCAATGCGAAACCTCTGGAATGGATAAAACAGGTGAGCCGTTCATTCCAATTTCATTATTTTATCTGTGTTACTGCTTTCCAACTACTTGAATATGCTTTTAGCTGTCCAACACAGGCGAGATGCCATAGGGAAATATTCAGCAGGTGTTAAAAGAGAATGTTCTCCAAGTATTATCAATTTCCGTTTCAATTTTCAATTCAAAAATTCAGTCGATATGAAGACAAGTGCTTCTCCTGCTAGTCCATCGCCTGTTCAAAGTCAATCAGAGGGTTCAGTACTGGAGGATCTATTAGAGAAACATAACTGTCTCATGAAAAAAAGGAAAATATTTTATTCTAACAAGGGTTGTGAAGAGCTGTTTCATGAAGGAGATTTGGTAGATCTCGATACAAAACTTTTAAATCTAATAAGTTGTTTTTGTAGGATATTGTTGAGTTAACTAATTATGAGGAATGCATGTACCAACTGTGGAGAATTGAACCCAGATTAGCAGCTGAATTCGTAGCAGAGAACAAGCACTTATTGAAAATTGATCCCAAGGAAAAGGTACTAACTCATTGAATAGCATTCGAGTAGTTCTAGAATTATAGGCTAAATTATTTCGTAACTTTGTTATTTTGAGACAAGCTGTTGAAGAGCCTTATCTCACTTGGAAGTTTGGAGGGTTGGATAAGGGATGGTGGATAATGCCAAATAGGTAAATGAACAAGTCTTAAACTGTACTCATGATTTCCTAGAATATATTTTGATATTAATCAAGGAGAGAAATACTGGAAAACGGGTATTATGAATCAATTGAAGTTGACACATGAACAAGCCAAAGGGTATACTCCTGAAAGGAAAGTAGTCATATCTGAAAATTTTAGGCTGTTTGTTTCATCCTTCATGTCTGCTATGAAAACAATAAGTACTCAAATGAAAAACTTGAACTTACATGAGAAGGAAATGATCGCCTTGTGTGGCTTGACCTTACTAGATCCAAGTACTCTTTCCATTATTTCGAATCACTCTCATTATATTTGTTGAAGCTGTAGCTACATTGAATCCGAAGTGTAAAGAAGAAATATGGCGGATACGCGACATATTGATAAAAGATATTTTTAATTTATATGAAGGTCACGAAGATCCTGAATTACGGATGGCTGAGCTTCTCATGATTCTCGGCTCAGTCAAAGTAAGAAAGCTATATTTTTTGCCATATTTCTGTTACTTCCAGACTCATGCTCTCAAAACCTTAGAAAATATGCATCTTATTAATACTTTCCAACTGATAGCACAAGATCAGATGTTCGAGGATATATGTAGAGGAAATAAATATAATGATACAGATCAAATTCCATAGAACCGATTGCTTAAACCAAAAGTACTGGTACGAGTTAACTACCTCATATGGTCTTTTGACATCGATCTCTTGTTTCTCATTGAAATTTAATCGAATGCTTTTGTTTGGGTGGGAAAGAGTTGTTAGGAACGTGTACATTAGCGCTATGTTTTTGATTATAACACGACTCTTTCCCAAACTTGTACATATCAAATCATCATTTTGAATATCCATGTTTACCTTTTTGAACGGTATCAGTTTTTCTCTTATTGTTACATTTCTATCACTGTGCAATTGTGAAGATAATTGTGATCACATAGTATTCAAATGTTTATCACGTTATGTAGCTTGTAAAGCAAATTGTTAATTTAATAAAAATAATGTATTAATATATCTCAGCTTCAGAATGCAACCGATCTGTCCTTTTTTTGAATTTGAAATGAAATATTCTCTACATGTGGGTGGAACATTGGTAATTTGAGAAATTGTTTAAAATGACACAATGAGATTTCAATGAAATAACTTCAAACAATCTTCATCTAGAGGGAAATTCCATTTACTTACGTCATAGTCACTGCTCAATTGAAAAATTAGCTATTCCGGGAGATATGCATACTCATAGTATTAACCTCCAGTCTGTTGATTTTTTAATTACGTACTCGAGAACATATTTTCGTTTTGACGCCGCTGTTTGAAATATCACATTTTCCATCGCACGGTGGTTCTCTATTTAAATTCGTTTCCTTGGATTGATATTTTGCTTAAAGAGGATGGCAGCAGCATTCTATGATCTTAATTATTCTTCGGTAACTGACAACTCACCTGTGAAGGACTATGGTAACGACACCTTTCTATCGTCACATCTCCAGGCTACGGATGTCAAAACAAGAAAAGTATATCAATCATGGATTGAACTACCAAAACTTCGAAATTATCGTTTTTCAGACAATGTTTATCGATAGTGATGCTTCTAGGATACTTTGGACTGGTTATTCTACTGGAAGATGCATAGCACAGTGGAAGAAGAGTAATGAAAGTAGCGAACCTTTCGAAGAAACATGTAGATTACCGGTTAGATCAGATCCCTATGACTTATGGTAAGTTCGTATCTTTGATTCGAAAATATCCATAGAAGGTTTTCAACTTCAACACACGATTGTTTTAAACATGTTCGATAACAATAGCCCTACTTTCTGATTCAATTCTTTGTTGTTCAGTGAAATATCAGCAGAAAGATTCGCAGCCTCCTTTGCTAATGGTGACATTGTCTATTACGATACAAGCAACTGTAAAATACAAGAAGTGAGTTATCATAATAAGTCTGAGATGTTTCCGTTGAAGTTAGGGAGAAAACAAGCGGTTCACGGAGATGGAAATGCACGAGTTCTAGCTCTGAACGAGAACAAGATTATCAGGTTTTTAATTTTCTCATTCTTCTCTTTCCTCAACAAAAACTTTAGTGGCTCTTCTTCCGGTAGTATAATAATCATGGACATTGAAAGTGGTGAAAAACAAATTCTGCCCATGGTAATTGGCTTGCTTTGCATTGATGAAGTGCTTACAATTTTAAGGATTATTCTGGTGTCTCTGCTATGACTGTTCTCACTGGAGGCTCTCTTCTAGCCACTGGTCATGAAGCTGGTCAGCTTCTTATTTGGGACATGAGGGATCCTAACACCTTTTCACAACCTTCTACTGCTACCCCTTCTAAGCGTTCTTTGGATGCTATTACAGCTTTGGCAGCTCACCCTGCGCAATCGAACTTAGTACGTACAAGCATAAGCTCATAGTAATTCGAAGTAATATTTCAGATTGCCTTTGGTACTGACGATGGTGGCATTGGCTTCTGTGATGTCAGAGGTGCTGGTTCTGAACTGTTACCTACTCTATTTGATGTTTTCGTTTCCACAGTTACTAAAGTAAGCTTGATGTTTTCTTCTCCTCAATATCAAGTGACGTTTAGATTGGTTTTCATCCTCAGTGTGGAGAGCATTTGGTTTGTTCTTCTCTAGATGGTTGTTTGAACCATTGGGATGCTTCTCATGTTAACATGGGAGGGTTTAGGTATGTTTTACAGGCTAATTTTGCACGTTCAGTTATCTAGTCTTGAATCAAGATGACATGAATTATGAATGCATCATTGAAGTATGGGTTTCAAACATTTTGTGGTTCATTACTACATATGTCCTTGATTTAACTCTATTTGATCACGACTCTTCTCTTTAGTTCTGAGATTACTTTCATCAATTCAGATCATCTGCTTCGAGTCGGCAATCTGTTTGGACAAATGACCGTCTAGGAGATGCTGTTAATATCAACACTTTGAGGTGCGCAATATCTAGAAGCTGATTTCATTTGATATTTCAGAAGTAAAAGTTTTGGTGGTGTGAATGGCTTCGATATTGTAGGAAAAAACGTTGTTGCTGCATACGATATGATGTCGATAGCAGTTTTTGAGGGTGTTTCATTCCCTATCGCCTCCAGTTAATTTTTTTGGGGCTAAAACTTCTCAGACGCATATCGGGCAACGTGTTTCCGTTTTTTTCACTTGAAATATGTCTGGAAGATTGTGTTTAACTTATAAATATCCCTCAATCGACATCTATTTGTCTTCGAATAGTTAAAGAAACGGATCCTGTAAGTGTAAGTTTTTTTGTTCTTATCTTCTCTTTGCTATTCCGTTACTCATGGAATTCCAACCTTACAGCATTCATTCTCACGGCTTGTCCATTTGCAACTGTTCGTCATCTATCATGACATGACGGCTTATCATTTGAAAAAAATGTTTGACTTTAATGTTTCTTCCTATTTCGAATTCTCTTCTAAACTTACCGTTGTTTCTTTTTGTTATTGTTCATCGTCCAAAGTGGAACTAATTTTTTGATTTTAATTGCATCGGGTAATGATTGTCTTCATATTCGAACCAATCTTCAGCAACTTCCATGTATTTTCAGTATTTAGTTTCCAAAATAAACTTTCTACTTTACACCCCATTTTGACACATTTCTAGAATCTTGTTGTCTTATCCATGTTGTAATGTACGTGTACGTCTTCTCATCATTGATTCGGTGATAAACGACTTGTGTACTCATGTTCTGCTTTGCTCATCCTATTGGTTTTAAATGCCAATCGTATTGATTTACTTTCACGCTTACACTTGTTGATTCAAATTTCAATGACATTTTCTTTACTGATTTCTTAACTTATCGATTATCTAAATAGCTTATGGTTTTTGTTCGTGCAAGCTATATTTTACAGCGAACGCAACGGCAATCCAATGATAGCAGGCAAAATGAACTGGAAATCTTATTTCCCTCCTCTGAACTCAAGGAGCTTCCTGGGGCATTATTTGCCAGCGAGTGGGGCCGTTTCTCATACACTTTTTGCTGTTCATATTTTCAATCCTACCTTTGTTTCTAGGTAAGAAAAAACTGAAGAGAGAGAAGTTTTGCTTTTTTAAGAATTTTTCCAGTTGGGGATCTTGCCGTGAGTAATAGTATATTGTTTAATGCCAACTTAGGAATTGGCTTCTATGTATATTTCCGTAATCACCTACATCGTTTGAACTCATGGGATCGAGTTGAGTTCAGGTTTGAGATATCAAATGTTATCATGAACGATCTCAAATATCGCTTTCAGCGTGTTCGCATCGACACTGTTTAATTTTGGGAGTTTGTTAGGTGCCGTGCTTGTGAAAGCTCTTCTGCCCCATAAGTATAGAGAACAATATAATTCTGTGTAATGATAACCTTAAGAACTCCAACCTGGGCTAAAACGATTTTGGCAACATGCATGAGCGTCTTTCTCCTATCAAGGGGAAAGAAATACTTGGGGTACATAGATGAAAGATCGAATAGAGCGTCTCCTTCTCCAAGAAGGTAAGTGATCTCCAATCATTGTTGTACGTAATGGAGTAAAGTTTGAGTTCTATTTCTTCATATTCCTTTCGTCTGATTGGCAGTTTTTATTACAGGACACCTGAACTTGAAAGAAATGGGAGCCTCCTTCACGACGGAAAGAACTGATGGGTTTTTCTTTTCAAACTCCCTATGCTGAGAGCTGTTCTCATTCTCGGAATAATAAGAAAAAAATTTTCATTCTGGGTAATCTCTAATTGAATGTATGCTTCTCGTAGATATATTGGCAACTTATACACAAACTGTATTAATTTTATTCATTCCTAGCCATACATAGTCATATTATATCCTTTTATACATCATAACTTCTCAATTTATTGCTCGCAACATATAACAAGTGAACTGTCTCACTTCAATACTCGATATTTAGAGGCTCTCACAAATAAAAAATGTTCAAAAATATGGAGAGCTTTCAGTGTAATGAGATCGCAAGAGCTGTACTGGCGAAAAAAAGAGAAGAGAGTCAGAGCATAATTTGAACCTCTAGCAAGTTTCTGAGCTTAAGTATGAAACACATGAGAGATACATATACTGTTTCAAACAAGTTTACAAACTTATTTCGTCACAGTTGCCCCACTACAATGGGATACGAAACTTTCTACGATCTAGCATCGATTTTTTTATTATCAGTATACCTTAAATATAAACCTTCGATGATTATGAATAAATGACGAGTCTGATTATCAACTTGACGATAACGAGGCGTGT